GAACATCAGTATCCATGAAGTATCACATAGCCTCTTCCAGTAGAGCATTTTTCTTGTATGTCTCCAGTTAGGGAGGAAAACCATTAAGTTATTAATATGATCATTTTACCTAAATTAATTTAATGCCCAAGATGGCATGAGAGCCAACCAGTATAATAATGATGGTCCTTTACATTTACAACAGCACTTGACAGCTTTCCTGGTGCTCACCCCAATGCTATCTGAAGTGATGGGCATTGGGGGAAAAGGTCATGCGTAAGTCTGGTAAAGTACACTGTGAAACAAGCAAACAGGAGCAGAATTTGCCAAGCACATAATGACAGAGAACATGTTTCCTGATTCCATAGGGGATTCAGACCACCCATCAGTTCTTCTCTGGGTTTTCTCTGTGTCTGAAATTGCAACGACTTTGAACTCTGAAATGATCTATGCTAGAATTTCCTCAAGGTGTTCTTCAGAGCAGCAGCTCCTGGGGATATTCACTAGTACCGTGCAGAAAAGGAAAAGAAGAAAAAGTTCCACAGTCATCTAGTTTGGGGATTTTCTAGGTTAAACCGGACTCTTGTTTACTACCGGGCTTCCGTACTGTCTGCACTGTCACTCTCCCGTGTGAGATTTCCTGAATGGTTTCGAATACAGAACTTTTCCTCCTCAAATCATTGCTTGGGGCCAATATTTATTGGGACAAGTGTTCTAACATGGTTATCTTTGCTTATTCTCAGTTTTAGAGTATGTCAGGTTGTCTGGATGTCTTAAATACAGGTTTGTTTGTTTTTCCAACCTCACGAAATATTCTGTGAGATGCAAAATGAATGAAAGGCCTCTGCCTATTGTGAGCCACATTGTAGATGGTGCAAGGTTGGGGTTGCAACTGATAACCTTCAGGAATATGTTAAGAGTCCAGAGTTTGGCCTAGGATCAGACCATTTGACCCTTACATGCAGTGAAAAGCCTTACATTCCCCTTTTGTGTGTAAGTATGTTTTTTTTGTATGTGCTGGTACATGTGCCTGTGTTGACTGTCACAGACTTTATGAAAGTGTTACTTATTGATAATTTATGCATTGAATAATTTATTATTATTTACATCCATCCATACATAGTTTTTGTGTAATTGTATAAATATGATCCTGGAGTACACATAGGTTCCTATTTTTTTTAAATGTTTATTTTAATAATCACTTGTGAGACAGCGATTGTTACTATCTCATCTTAGAAAAGGGGAAGCAGGCTCAGAAGGTGTGTAACTTGCCTGTGTTCACACAGCTGGAGCAAAGCAGTCAGGCTAATTACCCATCAGCTCTGACCTCAGATCCCACACCCTAAACAGTGGCATCAGCCACCTTTTCTGTGAGGATTACAGCTTGCTAACCTTTGTAAGGGGGTGACCATCAGCTAAAACATTCAGTGTGTATTTGTGGGGTACATGCTAAGTGATTGTCCCAATAAGGGAGATAATTGGCTATAACACTAAGCAGAAAGGAAAAGTGCTCTATAAAGATCGTGGGAAGAATGATATCTTAATTCTGGGACTATCCCTGAGAAGTGGTTTATGTCTAAATCTGGTAATAAGCTGTTAGTTTGCTCAACTCTCGAAGCCCCGGTTACTTCCTGCCCACGCCTAATGGGATTGGAGAGGGTGCAGGCCGAGCTGAGGGGTTTCCCCTCCCCCGCATGCACAAATTTCATGCACCGGGCCTCTAGTTATTTATAATACTGAACTTTTATAAACAACCTGTACCTTGACAGTTGGGGGATGCTTACACACGTAAAAATACATACCGCATCGTAGTGGAAATAATATGCATCCTCACCCAATATGGAAATGTGCTTTAATATACTGTTCAAAGAGAAAGAGCAGGTGCAGAGCTGGGAATGCAGGGTGGTCACAGGTCTGCAGAGCTTTTCCAAGGCTGAAGTCCGGGCGTGCAGTTCACCTCAGGGTGAACCCTGGTCTCTCCCTGTGGTGGGACCTGCATGTGGAGAGCGCTGAAGGAGTGAGATTCTTTTTCTTTCCCTTCTACTTCTCCATCTTTGCTAAGTTTTCTGTAATGATCACATAAGCCGGGGTTTTAACAAATGGAAGTGGCATTGCATATAATGGGGGGGAAGTCAACCTGGTTTCTAAGCCTGTTTCACAAAGGATTTGAAAGGCATCAACTTCTTACAGAAAGAAAAGCTCTGTGAACAAACACGTTGAATGTCAAAGCATTAAACAGAACCTTATTTGCTGGCAGCGCTTCAAGGAGTGGCAATTTGATTCTCTTAACCGGTGCATTTTGTTTTTAAAAAGCCCCAAGAGAAATCATCTTGGGCAAGAATGTCCCCGGCGCCACGCTTCCGAACTTCGGGGTGCGGGGTGGAGCCTCAGCATTGCAAGGGCGCCTCCTCCATCTCTTCTGACCTTCCGGGAGTCCGAGCTGACAGGTCTCTGCGATGTGGCGCTGTGCTCGGTGAGGTTTGCCCAAGCAGCTCCCAAGAGAGACATGCCATCAAACTCGGGAGGTGTGGGCCCCGGTCTGTAGGGGTCCCTTGGGAAGACCTCCTTCCCACGCACAGCACTGGGGAGACTTGGACCTGAAGTTGAAAGAAGTGAGACAGTCGAAACTGGTTTGGGTCAGTGGATAGAGTGTTGGCCTGTGGACTGAAAGGTCTCAGGTTCGATTCCGGTCAAGGGCATGTACCCTGGTTGTGGGCACATCCCCAGTAAGAGATGTGCAGGAAGCAGCTGATCGATGATTCTCTCTCATTGATGTTTCTAACTCTCTATTCCTCTCTCTATCTCTCTGTAAAAGAAAAATCAATAAAATATATATATTTTTTAAAAAAAGAAAAAGTGAGACATACTCGACTATAACTCTCTGCGTGGCCTCGGCCACGTTAGCACTTGATCCCCCTGAGCCCTGGTTTCCTCAGCTGTCAAATAGGGGTAATAAACTTTCCTCTTCCTCAGAGTGGGATTAGGGGGTGACTGCAGACTGTACGTGCGCCCACGGTGGTGTGGGATCGTGACAATGAGTTCTAACGGGCATCGGTTCTCTGAGGAAGCCTCTGAGTGCAACCGTGTCTACCTTGGGCCGAACAAGTAAACAGTAGCAGCACCATCCGTAGCTAGTCTTTTTGGAGCGCTGAGCACTGTCCTAAGGACTTTAACTGTATCACTTTGCTTTAACATTAAAAAAATATATATTTTATTGATTTTTTACAGAAAGGAAGAGAGAGGGATAGTTAGAAACATCAGTGAGAGAGAATCACCGATCAGCTGACTCTTGCACACTCCCCATCGGGGATATGCCCACAACCAAGGTACATGCCCTTGACCGGAATCGAACCCGGGACCTTTCAGTCTGCAGGCCGACGCTCTATCCACTGAGCCAAACTGGTTTTGGCTCGTATCACTTCACTTTAATCCTTAAGAGAATTTCAGGAGGCAGGCAGGTAGGTACTGTAATTGCCCCCATTTTACCGATGAGGACCTGAGGCACAGAGTGGTGAAGTAACTTGGCCAAGGCCACACAGCTAGCAGATGGAGGAGTGGCACTTGAATCCAGGCAGTCTGACTCTGGGACCCGATAGAAACTGCAGATACATTTCTCTGGCAGATGAGGAAGAGGGGCCTGGGGTATTTATTAATTTATTAGTTGGTTGGCTTAGTGTCCTACATCTGAGAGCTGCTGGTGATTGGGTTTGCTTTTCGGTAAGGGCTGCGAGCGAGGAACCCCGCCGGTGGGCAGTGAGTGGCGCAGAGGGACAGTCTCATGACCAAGGTCGGACACCGAGGCTGACTTCTCCTCGGGATCCCCAGCGGCCAAAGGAACAGCCCTGAGTGGGAAGGGACGGCCGTTGTCTGGATGACAGGAGTCGTGTTGAGGAACCCAGGAGGCAATCGAGGCGGCATCAGGAGGCCCCTTGAGCCTGATTGGAGAACACTCAAGTAGCAGGCTCTGGAAAGGAGGGTGTCTGCTTGGGGTTTGTGATACAAACAGCCACCAAGAGGGGACTGACACAGCTCTAGGGACTGAAGAGAGAGGCTGAGAGGGGAGAGGCAGCAGCAGAGGGGCCATATGTACATGTGGGCTTTGGTGAGGTTAGCATGTGTTTGCCATGGGGTGAGGATGATTCAAGTACACCCAGAGCATCACAGCCCGAGTCCTGAGAGTTAGCGACCAGCAGGCTCACAGGCTCAGGAAGACGGAGGCCTGACTAATCCCGTGGTCGGCAAACTGCAGCTCGCAAGCCACATGCGGCTCTTTGGCCCCTTGAGTGTGGCTCTTCCACAAAACACCACGGCCTGGGCGAGTCTATGTTGAAGAAGTGGCATTAGAAGAAGTTTATGTTTAAAAAATGTGGCTCTCAAAAGAAATTTTAGTCGTTGTACTGTTGATATTTGGCTCTGTTGACTAATGAGTTTGCAGACCATAGGACCAATCTATCATTATGCATCGTGGTGTTTACATGGGGCTCTGAGACCTGGGAGCCTGGGGAAGCCAGTCTCACCATGTTGGTCAGTTGTTCATGCCAGACTGCACCCAACCTGGCCAAGCACTTTTGAAAACTCTTCATGTTTGACTGTGTGAATGATCTGTTTCCTGCTTCTGAGTTTAGCTTTCATAGGACTCGATGTGAACTTGTAAGCCAGGGAAGAGCTTGATCCTTCACCCGTATGTGCATATGCGTGCAGGTCATGGTGTGATGTTCTCGCAGGATTGACTCACCACTTTCCTGAAGCTCTGAGGGCTGTGGTTTTGTTTAAACCTGGCCCAACGAAGCTGAGATTAAAATGTGCATGTCTCCATCCCTGCCCTGTAGGTCAGCGGCAGCATTTGCATGTTTCTTGTGACAGGATGTGTTGTTTGGGTGTTTACTGTGTCCTCACCTCAGTGGGTGCCCGGGTGGAAGAGGTCTCTGAGCAGCGCCTCCCTGCCCTCACCTTCTTTCCGGGACCTGCCACCGCAGGCACTTGCTGTCTGACGTCTGACCGCTTGGTGTTTTATTTCACAGGAACAGACAACCTGCAGATCACCGTCACCCCAGACCCAGAGTCATTTCCTCCCGGGAAATTGTCCCCGATCTCACCAACATGGCCTTTCTCAGATGCCCCGTCTTCCTCGGCAGTGGACAGAACCAAGGATGTGCTGGGCCCGACCCCTGACAATGCCAGCGTGCCGCAGCTCATCCGAACGCCTCCTCCCAAGACGCTCCGCAGGCCGAGAGCCCACGGGGACCTCTCTCCTGCCCCTTCCCAAGGAAGCGGACAGAGCGCCTCCCTCAAGCCTTCCAGGGATCCCACCAAGTCACCGGTCCAGCCGAGACCGCAGGGGGGAAGAGAAGCGGCCAGTGTGTCAGGTCTGCCTCACACTAGCATGCTCCCCGCATTGCCCACTGTCCCCCGGGGGACGTCCTTGAACCCTGTCCTCCCATCTCAGCCAGGGTGGGGAGGGACTCCTTCCATCTCAGATCGACACCCTCTGAGGTCAGACATCCTCCCGCTTCTCCCTCCATCTCCATCCCCTTCATTGGCTCCCGCCTCACCTCATCCCATCATCTTTCCTAAGCCGGCCGGGCCGCCTACCACAGAGCCTTTGGTCCCCCAAACAGCTCCAACTGACTGCCCTCCACGTCAGAGCGTGGCTGATCCCCTAAACCCACCTACTGACGAGATGAACCACACCCCACCCCCAAATGCCCAGGATTTAACAAGCGTCCCCCGTCTAGGTTTCTCTGGACCTTCAGCAGAGCAGCGTTCAGAGCTGCCCCCCACGGAGGATCCTCGTGCCGCAGGCTCCCCCACACCAGAGTTTCTGAGGTCCGGGCCAGCACTGGCCCATCGGTCTCCCCCTCCCCTAGCCCTTGGAAGTCTTCACCTGCCCCGTGGACCTCCCTCCTGGTCAAGCTTGGAAGCGCCCTCAAGGCCTGCATCCGCCCAGCCGGTCACAGTGGAGGCGGCTGAAGCTGTGCACCGTGGGGTGTCTCTGCCAGCTCTGAGGAGCAGGCCCGTGCCCTCACTTTTCCAGACTGTGGAGTCAGGGCGGGTGGAGGTGACCGGCAGGATGCTAGCCGCCACCGCTGCCAAGGACTCCGCTGACCCACTGCACCTGTCAGCAGCTCCAGGGGATTCTGAAGGGCCCGTCCCTTCAGCAGAACACACTTCTTCCTCTTTGGTGCCTTCTCCTCTGCCTCCCACTCCCGCCGGCCGAGGACAAGCCGTCCTTTCTGCATCACCCTCAGAGGGCGCAGAGGCAGACTGTCCTGCTGTCCCGCAGCCGGCACGGAACCAGGCCCCTCCACCCACCCAGCCCCGCACGCCAACTCCTTGGGGAGAGGGCCGCCATGGACCCCCTCCTACTGCATCTACCGACTTCCCCCTCTCCAGCACATTTCCTGACCTCCTCGCCACCCCTTGGACATTGCCGCTGCAGAAAGAACACGGCGTGACAGCCGTCCTGCGGAAACACGAAAAGGCAAATGTGACAGTTGCTCTGCAGACCCTCCTAAGTAAAGAGGTTCCGAGTCTTCGCACTCTAAGTGGAGTCACCTCTGCTTTCAGCGCCGATCCTGCTTCAGCCACTGTCCCCACCACGCCAAGAGCAGACCTTGCTTCAGAATTCCCGCCATGTCCCCTCCCATCCACACCAGCTGCCCAGACTGTTTCCCCGTCTCCGGGCCTTTCCAGCAGCAAGCCAGGGACGGACGCAGCTGCGACGGGCCCTGCAGAGCTGCCAGTTTCAACTTCCAAACAGGTGGCAGTCCTTCCCTCCTCCTCCGAGGTCTATGATTTCTCAACAATGGGAAGCAGGCAAGCGCCAGCGGTCACAGATGCGCTCCGGAGTTCCCTTTCCGCGGAAACTGGACCCCCTTCCCCAGAACCAACGCTATCTGGCTTGCTGCAGCAGACAAAGGATGCTATCAACGGGCACACAATTAACTCCACAAGTTGGAGACCTCACTCAGCTCCCTCTCCTGCCCCCGGTGTTTTAGCTCCAGCTGTTAATACAATAGACCCCCCCGATCTCAGAGACACTGCTGGGCACGGAGCAACTGCAGATGGCATTAGCTTTCCAGATTCAGTCCTTGAATCAGGCACCAACCAGCCCATCCAACCGTCAGGCGTGACCATGGTTGGAAACCGTACAGCTGTCTCGTCTACAAGTAATAACAACCATTCCAGAGACTTCCAAACAACCAAAGTTGAAGATTTCCCACCCTCAAGTCACCAAGTCAAGACTCATCCCCGTGGACAGCGGCCTGTCCATTCAACATGGCCTCTCCCGCTACCCTCTCCAAGTCTGCCTTCCGCAGCTGGCTTGCAGGAGATGCTTTCAGACGGAACGGATACAAGTTCCCACATTTCCAGCAACTTCAACCCAGCTCCTGTGGTACATGCTTCCACACCGTTTCAGAGTATCCCGAGACATCGCTCTACTGCCGAATCTCCTCTGTCAACCAGGGCCTCCCTGGGGACCCCATCCAGAGTGCTCCCGCCTTCTCAGCGCCCCAAAGAATGGACAGGTGCAGCCACTATTGCAGGAAGTTTGCTTCCTGGTACCCAGAAAACAGGTAGGACTGCTCCTGTGACCAAAACATCTTCAAGCTCAACACAGATGCCCAGCTTTGCTCGGGAGCGGACATGCCCTTCCACGCTGATGAGAGACTCAGCAACACTAAAAAAGAGTCATGTCCTTGACCCTCTGCTGACGTGGTGTTTTGAAAGTATTCGGAACTTACTGTCCTTATTACCGACCATAGCTTTGCTGTAACTGGCATTCTCATTGTGCTTACTTGACGTAATGAGCCTAAGCTATGTGGCCTACATGCCAGAGCACAGAGACTTTTCATCCCAGCAAACCCATCGGTGACATCCATGCGTCACCACACGTGACGTGTGCACTGTGGGCCAGTGACAAACTCTGCTTTCTCTCTCTTTGCAGTGGGCTTCGCAGTGTCGTCCAAGGCAGGACCAACAGCAGCCGCAGCAGCGTCCACCTTGCTCCTGAGGAAACCAAGCCCGCCAGCCCTGTCTGCAGCCCTGGTGGCCAAGGGGGCCAGCAGCAGCCCTTCGGCATTGGCCTCGGGATTCGTCAAGGGCAGTTTGACCACTGCTCTTGCCAAACATGCCACCAACAACACGGCATCTGGCCCAAAAGCGACACCCGGGGCGGGCCACACGGCCTTCTCGTTCACGCCAGCCTACGTGTTTGCAAAATCAGCACTCACCACTAGCACTCACACAGCCACACAAGGGAACACGGGCACCGCCTCCGGCCTGTTGTCCACCACACACCTCCCCAGGAAACCACAAGCCATGCACACGAACCCCCCACCCCCCACCAGCCCAGACCCGCTCAGGGTGTCCACCACACGTTCGCTGGCCATCACGGCAGCCTTGACCTCTGTCACTGCACCCGTAAGGGCTACCTGGCTGCCGCCTCTGCTGGCAGAAAACCCAAACGCTGCCCTTCCCGCCGTGTCCATGGCTATGGTCACAACCGGCAAAATGGCGTCCAACCTGGAGTGTCAGATGTCCAGTAAACTCCTGGTGAAGACAGGTGAGACTCCACTCTCCTGGTTTTACCGGGAAGCAGCGAGCACATGATGGCTTCAGAGATGCAACAGAATTAGTAGATTTCTTTGAGGTCGCGGTTCTCACAGAGGGCAGTTTAGCTCCTCCTCCCCGGGGACATTTGCTCACCTGGAGATGTGGGGGGGTCTTGAAGCGTAGGGAGGGTGCTTTGGCATCTGGTGAGGTCAAGACGAGGGATGCTGCTAAAGATCCTACAATGCACAGGATGGTTGACAACAAAGAACAATCCAGAATTTCGGTAGTGCCAGAGTTGAGAGCCCCTGATCTTTATCCAGTGACGGAGGGTAAGACAAGCATTCCGTGGCACCATCTAGACTCGGGGTCAGTCCTAAAACCAGAGGCCCCTCGGAAACCAGTCTGGCCAGGGGCCTGAGGAAGCACGGGTTTTGCCGGCAGTGACATGTCACATGCATGCATGATGTGTTTGTAACTATACAACTTGGGAAAGTGCCACGGAATTCAGAAAGGCTTTGTGCCATGGGTTTTCTCCATCAGCAGGTGCTTAAAATACAGCTACGGTGCCCTGGGTGGGCACCCGGGATTTCTTTCGATGTTAAGAAGGAGGCCCTGAGAATGTGGGGTGGTGGATGCTCTCTCTTCAGCCCCCGCCTCTCAGTGGCAGCAGCGCAGACCGAGAAGGCACAGGGTCCTTTTCATGGTGTGGTGGTGTTTGCTACAGAAAACACCAGCCCTAGTACTTGAAAGAGCATGCCGGTGTTGAATGCCCGCATCCCACCTTCCTCTTCACCCCACATGGAACTAAATGAAATTATTTCTTGGGATCTACCCTATTTTACGGTGGGAAATTGTGAAACTAGCCATAGCAGAAGGTACAGTTTCTCTTCCTATATCTCAAGAAATTATACCATCTGGTTTCCCACTTCCCCTCCCCCTTGCTCGCCAAATCTATGCTTCCTCCTCTGAGTGACAACCTCAACCACCTGGTTGCAGAAGTCTGGAACATTCTCCCCCCTCTCATCTTCATCAACCCCTGGCTCCCTAGCCACACTCTGTCAAGCACCAGTTCCTCTCAGGTTTCCTGGAATGCCCTCTCTCTCCACACCACAGCTGCCACTTCCCTAGTTCACATTGTCACGATCTCTCACACCCTCTGCAATCAATGACCAAATTTATCTCTCTGCCTTCAGACTCCATCCCCCTCCCTGCACCAACCTGTTCTCCAGTCTGCAGTTAAAGGAACCTTCTAAAATGCGTGCCTTCATTCAAAACCCTTCACGTCCCGTTGCCCTCAGGACCAAGCCTAAACACATACACTGAAATGGCTCTTCTCCCCTGTGTCTTTGCACTTGGTCTTCCCTCCACTGGGAGTGGGCAGGAGTGGGTTCCCACCCATCCTGCCAAGTTCACTCCCATTATCCTTCAGGACTCAGCAGAAGCACCAGGAAACCTTCCCATGTCCCCACGCCCTTGCCTAAATCAGTGCTGGACTAGGGCTTCCAATAGCATCCTAGGCTTCCCTTCAAATAGCACCTGTCAGTCTCCAACCCCATCTCCACTGCTCTTGTGGGGTGGGTCTGCCTTTCTGATTCAGGCTGCAGCACCTGGCCCAGCGCCTGCCCCTAAGTCAGCTCTTGGGAATGCTGTTGAGGGAACTCCCTTGCATGCAGACCCACCAAGCACGGGTCTGGCTGAGCCGCACCTTTCCAAGTCAGGAGCAGCATTGGTCTGAAATGAGGTGCCCCTGGGCATGATGGCTGTCTCTCCGCACAAATGGCTGGTGAGGGCCTTCTCTCCTTGGGACTTGAGTGGAGCCCCGCAGACCTGCCACCCCAGCCCTGCCCGCATCGGACCTGCACTCCCCAGCTTTGCTCCGGGCTTGTGGGAGGCGTTGGCTGGGGTGAAGGAAGGCTGCTGTATGGGGACGTCCACTGCCTTCCCCGGGTGACCATCCTCCGGTTTCGTCCCACAGTTCTCTTCCTGACGCAGAGGAGAGCGCAGAGCAGCGAAACCTTGAAGCTCGGCATAGCCAAAGGGCTCACGCAGGCACTGCGCAAGGCTTTCCGCCAGAACGACGTCTCGGCTCATGTAAGCCCCTTGCTTTGTCACTCGTCTCATCCTCTGGGGACCAGACTAGACTCAGATCATTTTCCTTCCCCGTCGGGTACCATAGCCATGTAGCATCTTTTATTTATTTATTTTTTTTTTTGCAAATAGTTCATGTGTTGTTGTTGTTGTTGGAGAAAAAGGTGAAATCTTGAGGTGGAAGATTGAGACTAATTGCCTTATTCCAGATTTTTCTTAAAGCCTGGGTATACTGTTTTAAATGGTCCTATTATTCCATTGTCTGGGAACAGTGTTTAGTGATTGTTCGTGTAATTCTCCAGAAATCATCCATTACTTCTTCCTTTATCTTCCCTGCCATTGTAAATAGTTAATGATTAATTCGGGACATTTAAAAATTACTCTGACTTGTAATTGCGTCCAACTTTGCTCAAATTGCCAGCAGCAGACGGCGGAGTAAACACTTTCCCCCTCCCCCTCTCCAAACGCTAGAACTATTTAACCACTGCTCGCTGTGATGGAAGGCTCGCTTTACACGCTCTTCGTTTGATTCCAAGTTTTAAAGCAGTCAATGCAATTGGCAGTTGGTGGGCCTCCCTTTTCAACACTTGAAACCGTGGCTCTGGCCTCTTCCTTTGATGTATTGTTCTGCAGCTGCAGTTGGCTTGGTGGCCCCTCGCCCACTGCCACCCCAAGGCCTGGGAATAATGTTTGGCACGTGATTTGCTGGCCGTTGTCAGTCTCTTTTATGTCATTTTGAAAGAAAGAAAAACATTCCATGTGAGGCATCTGTGGTTTCTGCAGCAGAAACCTTATTTGAACGTGGAAAACGTGGCCCAGCCAGTGTGGCTCAGTGGTTGAGCATCAACTTGTGAACCAGGAGGTCATGATTCCATTCCTGGTCAGGGCACATGCCTGGGTTGTGGGCTTGAAACCCAGTGTGGGGAGTGCAGGAGGCAGCGATCAATGACTCTCTCTTATCATTGATGTGTCTATCCCCCTCTCCCTCTCCATTCCTCTCTGAAGTCAATAAAGATATATTTTAAAAAAAGAGAGAGAGTGCGCCCAAACCGGTTTGGCTCAGTGGTGGAGCATCAGTCTGTGGACTGAAGGGTCCCAGGTTCGATTCCGGTCAGGGGCATGTATGTTAGTTGCAGGCACAGCCCCGATAGGGGGTGTGCAGGAGGCAGCTGGTCGATGTTTCTCTCTCATCGACGTTTCTGGCTCTCTGTCTCTCTCCCTTCCTCTCTGTAAAAAATCAATAAAATATATTTAAAAAAAAAAAAAGAGAGAGAGAGTGAAAAATGTGAATGTTTCTATTGGTTGCCTGATGCAGGTTCCACTAAACTTCTCTCATTTGCAAACGACCTTCATAGTTTTTGCCTTTTCTGCATCTCATCACAGACTGCTGTGACAGGACGTATTTTTTTTTAATTGACTCATTTTTAAGAACTTCAATACATATCTTTTGAAAGGATATTTGATATTACCACCACAAATGGAAGTCCCTAAGAAAAGGGAATCATAAAAGTGAGAGTAACGGAAGCAGCTTGTTAAATTCAAGCTGGACATGGTTGGCAAAAATGTGATTGAACATATCAGAATGGCATTAAAAGTAAGTAATCCCCAAACTGAGACTTGGTCCTTGGGGTAACGAGAAGGACGGGGGCAAGAATCACTTTCTCTCTGGCATCCCTTACCCTTACTGCTGTGTCCATGCTCCCTCCATGGTTCCACCTAAAGCCACATTTAAAAATTATTTTTATTTTCCAGTGATAGTTTACATTCAATATTGCTTTGTATTAGTGCCAGGTGTAAAACATAGTGGTTAGATAATCATATATTTTGCAAAGTCATCCTCCGATATCCCAGTACCAGCTTGGCGCCATATGTAGTTTTACAAATCATTGACTGTATTTCCTATGCTGTTCTTCACATCCCCGTGACTGTTTTGTAGCTACCAATGTATGCTTCTTGACCCCTTAACTCTTCCACCCAGCTCCAACCTCCCCCCGCACCTAAAGCCGCCGTCTGGAACACCACCTTTGGAAGCTAAGTGTGGAGGAGCCAAAGGCATAGCCAGCCTGTTGCAAAACCAGTTTACTTGATCTCTTTGGCAAATGCATGTGACACTACTAATGGAGATGCCACAATAAGGGGGGAAAGTGGGTGGCTAAAACACCCTGACTTATAATAAACAGCGTAAACTGATGAATAAAAACAGATCCAGAGACAGAGAAGCATCGGTCAGACTGACAAACCTTAGAGGGAAGGTAGGGGAGGGTGGTGGTAAGGGGGAGAGATCAACCAAATGACTTGTATGCACGCATATAAGCCTAACCAATGGACACAGACAACAGGAGGGTGAGGGCATGAGTGGGGAGTAGTGGGGGGAGAATGGAGGGATAAGAACACATATGTAATATTTTAATCCATAAAGAAAATAACACACACACACACACACACACACACCACACCCTGACTTGTTAATATAAAACCCAAGTCAAAAAGCAAAAACAAATAATGAAGTCTAAAGCCTCAAAACCTTCCAGTTGGGTTAAGAAGAGCTCAGATGATCCTATCTCCTAGGACTCAGCTGTAAGAGAAACCCTCTTTATGGCCCACCCCCGCCTCAGTCTTAAACCAACTACATGTCAAGAATGGGTGACGTCTAAACCATTCTTCTCTCAGCTTCTAGAGAGAGGAAGTCACCTCATATACTGTTTGACTCCTGTCCTGAAGGTACCCTCACTTGATTTCTCACTTCTGCCTCTTAATTTCCATCAATGATGAGAAATATAAAAAGCTATTTTTTTTTTAGCATGCCATTCCCTAGAAATCTGTTTTGCCTGCCATTTTGGGAGATAATTAGTGCTCACGGGATTATCCTTAGGCATTGAAGGGATTAAAAAAAAAAACACGCAGATTTAATTCTGTTCCATGCAGGTTCAACATAGTTTATATTTTGTTGTATTCTGATATTTTGAGACCTGCCAGTCATCGTCTGCTTTAGAGGGCTGTTAGAATATTTGTTGAACGAGAACATCCTCTTCCCCAGCCATGCTAAATGGTCCTGGGAAACCCCAAGAACTTAAGGTGGAAGTAAATACTGAGCTCTGTGGGTCCCTTTGTTTTGCAGGTGGAGATTCTGGAACATTCTCATAACGTCACCGTTGGTTATTACGCTACCAAAGGGAGGCTGGTGTACTTGCCTGCCGTGGTGACCGAGATGCTGGGTGTTTACGGGGTCAGCAACATCACTGCGGACCTGAAGCAGCATACCCCGAGCCTGCAGTCCGTGGCGGCCCTCGCCTCCCCGTGGCACCCCCAGCCTGCAGGCTACTTCCAGCTGAAAACAGGCAAGTCGCTCAGGATGAAAGGATTCTCTCCTTTCTGGGGTCAGGGGCAGTGCCAGGAAGACACCAGTTTAAAAAAACTCCATTGTTAGCTACTCTGTCATCTCTTGTTCCTTCCCCAAAGGCATTCTAACCCAATGTCTAAGCACCCTGCACACCAGCCTACATTTTCCCTGGTTTTATTAGAAATATTTCTTCAGAGGAGCCTTTCTTCTTACTGTATATAATTGGTACTTTTGTGCACCAAGGACTGTCATTTTTATTTCCCCCCCTGCATTATGGGTACTGATAAAAGCAAGTAGCCATAAAAGCTGTGCTCTGGAGCAACACATGGCAGATGCCAATGAATTAGAATCTCTGAGCTTAGGCCTTGGGATCTTTCTTCCAAGCTTCCTGCTGATTCCAAACCACAAGCGTAGACAGAGAAACCATTGGAATGGAAAGACTTCATCGACTCAACCATGCAGGCCAATTGATTATTTCCCCCCTCCAAAGAAGCAGAAGGCATTTGGATGCCTTAGGTTATTCTTTTTAAGCATCGTGGAGCAGACGTCTACATATTCCAATCAAATGGAATCACAGAAGCCCTTTGCATTTCAAGGGATCTCGAGTCTCATCACACTTTTAATTCTTCTAGGTTATCAATCATGCTAAGAGCCACTCCTCCTAGTAAAACTACAGCCAAACCTTGTCTTCCTCCCTCGCCTGATTGCTCTGATGTAAACATGGTGGTTTTATATTAGGACTGCTACTGAGCCCAAGCGTGAATTTATTACTCTCATTCCAGTGCTTCAGTTTGTGAGCCCATCCGACAACATCCAGTCCTGCAGGTTTGCTCAGACCATGGAGCAGAGGCTGCAGAAGGCCTTCCAGGATGCCGAGAGGAAGGTGTTGAGTGCCCAGAGCAACCTGACGATTCAGGTGAGGAGGGCGATGGAGCCATGTGTTTGACAGAGGCCAGTCATAACGCAGATAGACATTGGCAAGAGGTGACGTGGTCCTCCGTTTCAAAGCTTCCTGGGGTGAATGGTACTTTGCACTTGGGCGTGTGATGTAGGCAGGAGACACGTGCCACTCTGGGGCCCCTGAGTCCAGTCAATTCTGCACTGATGAGGCTGTCTGGAATACGGGTGCTGTGTCGCTCTTTACCTGCTGTGGTTTGGAATTTTATGTTTATTTTCCCACGTGAAGGTGTCTCAGGCCTTTCCAATACATTTATTATTTTTAAAAATGGAACTAGAATATGCTATGTAAGATAGGTCAACTGTCTCATAGAAAATGAATCATTTTTAAATAGCTAACTCACTAAGATGTGCCTATTCTGTGATTTTCATTGACTGTTTATGTGGATATTCTCCAAATATCCACATGAACAGTCACCTTACATCATACACACACACACACACACACACACACACACACACACACACACACACCTATATATTTAGAGCTTCCTATGTGCCAGGACTGTGCTAAGTATTTAATGAATATTTTGCTACATAATACTTAAAACTTCCTTCTGAGGTTTATCATTATCATTTCAGAGGAGGAAACCGAGAGAAAGGTGAGAAACTTCCAGAAGATCACATAGTTGGTACAAAATAGAACAAAGACTTGAGCCAAAGCCCACGCTGGCTACACTGGCATCAATGCAAAGAAGAAATGGGGCCCTTGGTGAAACTTTTGACAAAGACATGGATTATTTTCCAGGAAAATCCCACTCCTGGTTTACTGTATTTTAATTTCCTGGATTTTCAGTAGATATGCTATCAGAAGCCTTTCTTAGACTTTTTTTTTTTTTTTTTTTTTTTTTTTTGCAGTTGTGTGGATACCATCCCATTAAAGACAGATGCTTCTTAATAGTATTTATCCAGCCACCAAATTTCTCTAATTAACTGAACTAGCCAATGTCTCTAAACTAAAAGCCTTTGCAATGAAACTCAGTGGTTTTGAAATTGACATTTAGCATAAGTGAATTATCAGCAAAGCCAATATGACATAGAAGCATTCAATTGAATTTGAATGAGAAGCTTTCCTTTTCTAGATCAATCCAAAGTGGAAGTATCTCATTATGATTTGGCTTATTTTAGACTAAAATCTAAAAACGTGTCACAGACTTAAGATTTATGTCAGGAGTGTGACTCAGCTCTTCGGTGGGAGAGCTTTTTTTTTCTGATGGCATTTGGAACTTCATAGGTAGAATCTGCTTAGAGCTAGAACATGCTCTATTCAGAAGCACAGATGTAGTGAGCACCTGCTATTCATCAGGCACTGGGAAGGACACTGAAATAAGAAAGGGGTCCTTGGCTTTAGCAAGTAAGAGTTCTTTCTTGGAAAAGACTACAACAAGCAATTTGAAAATTGTATCTAAATAGTTTTTAGATGCTCTTGAGATTATCAACAGCTCTTTTTAAAAATATGTTTTTATTAATTTTTAGAATGAGAAGAAGGGAGAGGGATAGAGAGATAGAAACACTGACGAGAGAGAAGCATATGATCAGCTGTCTCCTGCCCACTCCCTTCTGGGAATCAAGCCCATGACCTGGGCATGTGTCCTGACCAGGAATGGAACCCTGACCTCCTGGTTCATAGGTAGATGGTCAACCACTGAGCCATGCTGGATAGGAAATAGCTCTTTTTAAAAAAATCTTTATTGTCGAAAGCATTACATAGTTCCTCCTTAATAGCTCTAGGAATGAATGGTTAACTGGGTGAACCCCACTTCTCTTTTTGCCTTGGCCGACAGGAAGCCCAGAGACAAGGTTGTTGCTTGGGTTGAGTAGCCCTCTCAGCCCCTGTGTCATGCATAGAGAGCTGAATGACAGCCATTCCCCTGGGATTGTCTTTAATCTGTTTTTCCAGAACCTGGTTTTATAATTACAACTTTCCATTGCATTGTATTAAATATAATTTGTGAAGCACTTTGGATTCTCTGTGGAATAAGACTACATAAATATTTAATTCGTTTGTTTAGAAAGTTATTGAAAATATGACTTACAATTATTATTTTTTTACTTGTATAGCATTGATATTAGAGGGTAGATAACAGTTGATTCAATTAAGAATTTTTGGTACAGCCCTAGCTGGTTTGGTTTAGTGGATAGATTCTATCCACTAAACCAAACCAGCTAGGGCTGTTTATCAACAGCTTTAAAAAAAATATATGTTTTTTATTGATTTTTAGAGCAAGAAGAAGGGAGAGGGATAGAGAGATAGAAACACTGATGGGAGAAGCATCATTGATCAGCTGCCTCCTGCCCCCTCCCTTCTGGGAATCGAGCCCACCACGTGGCATGTCAAATGGCGCGGCTACCGTGGAAAACTGTCTGGCAGTTCCTCAAAAAAATTAAACATAGAATCACCGTATGACCCAGCGATTCTACTGCTGGACATATAACCAACATAATTGAAAGCAGGGACTTGAACAGATATTTGTATACCCCATGTTCGTAGCAACATTATTCACAACAGCCAGAAGGTAGAAGCATCCCATGTGTCCACCCACAGATGAACGGACAAATAAATGTGGTGTATTGATACGACGGAATGCTATTCCTCCTAAGAAAGGAACTTAATTCTGACACATGCTATGACATGCATGAACCTTGAGGACAGTGTGCTAAGTGAAATAAGTCAGACACAGAAAGGACAAGCAGTGTATGACTCCATTTATAAAAGGTATTACATTTTTTCAAATCAATAGAAACAGAAAGTAGAATGGTGGTTGCTAGGGGCTGGCGAGAAGAAATGGGAGGTGGTTGTTCGGTGGATGGCTGCTGCTGGTGGCTGCACAATGATGTACATGTCCTTAGTGCCACCACACTGTACACTTACAACGGTTAACGTGGTAAGATGTATGTGTGTTACCACAATAGAAATGTATGAAACGGATATAATGTTATGGGTCAGTTATACTCCCATAAAAATATTCTTAGCTTAAAAAGGTAAGAATATTAGACGATTATGCACATGGGATTCCTCCACCGCGGTGGGATTTGGATTCTTGCGATGCTGCTGGATGAGTATTTCCGAAGGTCCCCCCCACCGTGAAGATATAAATATGGTAAAAGGCTTATTTTCGTGGAGTTACACTCCTCGGGTTGTATAAAGTTTCATGTCCCTTATCTCAGTCCTGAAACCGGAGCAGCTGGGGCTTTTGTCGCGCTAAAAACAAAGCCAGTGTCCAGAGTTTTCACTCCATGGTGGAGGGGGGTCTGAGGGAGCATGAGGCCAGATTCAGTCCGTTAGTCTATTGTGTGGGTCCCTCGTGGCCATGAGCCACGTGGGTGAATGCAGGGTGTGGGAGCCCCTGCAAGCCAGGAGTCAGGTGTGAACAGCAAGAGAGGGGGTCCCTTTGTTCAGGAGCTTAAGTAGCAAATCTCCAGCTTGCCAGTGGCCATACCTGTTCCAGCCACTGGCTTGTTCCCAGGTGTGACTGACAGGTGAGCGCCTTCCACGTCACCCAGACCTTACTGGGTGTGTCTGTTGCCCAGTCCCTCCCTCAGTGATCTGCAGGGGATAGACTTGGAGAATGTTAACTGCAGCTTTCTGGCAACCTTGCATAAATGGGATGCCTATATTTTCTAACCTCCTTTTTATGACTTTTCTGTTACTAATGAACAGCTTATTGTATTGGTATCATAATTACCTGGTCAAGTACCATGTGCACAGAAGCATCTATACTGCAGGCTGTTTGGGACCCAGTGGGTTTTGTTGAAAAGCAGAAAATAAAATGTTCACAGTAGAGATAAAGGTTGGAGATAAAGGCTGTAAAGTTATTTTAGTGGTAACTTTTATGGGTGACAGTACAGAGAGGTCTTTTGAATTGTTCAGAAGGAAGTGCCTTCCTTTTTGGTAAGTTGAGAGCGAGGCATGCATACCTGTGGCTAAAACCACATTCCAAAAATACTTGCAGAGAGGACAGTTATAAGAGCTGACCAGCAATGTTGACTCCCTAGGTCCGTGGTTGGCAAACTGCAGCTCGAGAGCCACATGCGGCTCTTTGGCCCCTTGAGTGTGGCTCTTCCACAAAATACCACAGCCTGGGTGAGTCTATTTTGAAGAAGTGGCGTTAGAAGAAGTTTAAGTTTTAAAAAGGTGGCTCTCAAAAGAAATGTCAATCGTTGTCCTGTTGATATTTGGCTCTTTTGACTAATGAGTTTGCCGACCACTGCCCTAGGTCATTAGTCATGGGACAATATTATATACTCTGTGACCATATAAGATAATTTAAAAGGAACTTCCGTGCATGGGGAAAATAACGAGAAGAAGGTGTTCTTGACCACCTTCTTCAAAGTAGGGTTTACAGGAAGGTTGCAAGCATATGGATGTCTGAGCACACAGAGGTCTGGGAGAGACGGAGAGCTGCCAGCCCCTGGCCGGAAGGAAGGGCACTCAAATGAAGACAATTTGAGGAGATTCAATAGAAGTGACTCTTCCCAGAAGCCTGACAGGCACTGGGGAAACCACGGGGACGATGCAGGAACAATTGGGGCTCAAGGGGCAGGGAAAGGAACAGTTATAGGAAGCCAGAGGCCTGAGCTGTTTATTGGGAGCTTTGACCCCACAGGGAGGGAGTCCCCAACACCAAAAATCTGATCTCACTCTCCCTCTCTCCACATCCTCCTGATCTCCCTTTAAAAAAAAAAAAAAGGATATGTTTTTTAAAATTTATTTTTTGAGAGAGAGGAAGAGAGAGAAGCATTGATGTGAGAGAAACATCGATTGGTTACCTCCCATATGTGCCCTGACTGGGAATTGAACCTGCAACCTTTTAGAGACATTCCAACCTACTGACCTCCCTCTAGCTAAAGCCAGAGGGCAAAGGAGCCCCTGGGGTGGTCTGGTCCACAAGGGGTCTGCCTCCGGGGGTGCTGAACAGGACAAGAGGGGGTGGCACGTGGGTGGGGAGGAGGAAGGAGCAGACAGATGCTGCTTCCCGAAGTGGAATGACTTCCTACTGCATCTGCTTTTCAAATCTCATCTGTGGGATATTTTTGTCTGTATCCTGACCCACAAAACCTCGTTTTCCAGTAACGAAAAAACCGACTTGGACAGAGAAGAAAAACACACCATCTCATGCTTATATTTACAGGTCCTATATTGAACTCGTAGGCCGCAAGAAACCATAATCACTCTCTAAAGAAGCTATTGATGTATCTGAATTTGTTTCTAATCACTATTTGTTACTGGGCTTATACATTCCCTATCCTTCCAACTTGAAAATCCCCATCGGCCCCCCAAATTTGATTTGAGCTTTTTTCTATCTGAGCTCATGAGTCCTCCTTAAATGGAACATATCCGTGCGGTAGGAGCAATCTGAGACCGTCTAGCCCCTGGGGAAAATACACACCAGGGGTTAGAACCTCAAAGACTGCTTAGGTGTGAATCCTGGCTCTGTCACTTCTTAGCTGGGTGACCTTGGGCAAGACCCCTGGTCCTTCCGGGCCTCACTTCCCCCCTCTGCCAAAGGGAATCCTAATTGGATGCACCTCCTGGGGTGGCGGTGAGGGTTAGATGGGATAAGGTGCCCTTCGCACGATGCCTGGCACGGAGCCCACCATCAGTGAGTGACCACCGTTGTTATTCTTGTCTCTTCCTCACTCTTCCCCCGCCTCCCTTTCAGTCCTCTCTTCAATTTTCCTCAGAAACGTCTTCTCCCACGGCCTCCCTGAAACAGACCCTTATCTGATTAGGCATGTCTCCCTCCCCTTTCCTCCCGTGTCCATTCAGATCGTGAGCACGTCCAACGCCTCCCAGACGGTCACCTTGGTGTACGCGGTGGCCAATCGGAGCTCCTTCCTCAATGGCACCGTGGCCAGCAGCCTCCTCCGCCAGCTCTCGGCCGAGCTGGTGGGGTTCTACCTCACCTACCCGCCGCTCTCCATTGCTGAGCGTGAGTATGTCCCCGTCACGCGGACACCCTGCCCGTGACCCCGGGGGGCCTTTCTCCACTTGGCAAACACCCATGGTGCCAGGCTGCACATGAAGTCTTCTGCCGTGAAACAGCTGGACTACGTGATAACATGGAGATGGCAGTGATGACAAATTTATTATTGCACATTGAGAAAACAAGCACTGGCTGGGTGCCTTTGCTCTTCGCATGTCTCTTCTCTCATTTACTCCTTGCAAACCAGCCTCTGAGGCAGGTGCAAAATTATTAGCACCCTTTTGCAGGTAAGGAAACTAAAGTTTGTTAAGTTTAGTGGAGTGTCCACCACCTACACGGCTGGTCAGGCATGGAATTTGAGCCCACGTCGTCTGCCTCTGAGTTTATAAGCCCACCTGGTAGGGCGCTTGCCTGCGTGGCGATACAGATTGCTGTAATTTCCCCCACTCCTACCATCAGCAGATGTCCCGGGGCCTTTGGGCCTTGGCCTGGCTACAGATATCAGTGCAGCTAATTTGCCATCAGTATCATGGCTTCCCTTGAAGAAGTCCCCATAGCCTTGTGGCCTCTCTTCCGTTAATGCCTCGGTTACTTGATCCTCACCGCCATGCAGCAGGCACAGGCTTTGAAGACCATGCAGCCTACATTCTGTCTCCAGACACTTACTTGGTGCCCAAAGGAAGTAAAGATTTGTGCTCTTAAATGTAACGATTGATCCTTTCCCAAGGTCACTGAGCAAGCTTTTTATAAATCACACTAGAGGCCCGATGCACAAAATTCGTGAAGAGTAGGCCTGCCTTCCCCTGGGTGCAACGCCGGCTTCATCCGGAAGGATGTCCAGTCTAATTGGCATATTCTGCTTTTATTGTTATTGATACTAGAGGCCCACCCGGTGCACCAATTTGTGTACCAGTGGGATCCCTCAGCCGGGACTGCAGGATTGGGCCAAAACTGTGGCCCGAAATCCCCTGAAGGGGTCCCAGATTGTGAGAGAGTGCAGGCCAGGTTGAGGGACACCACCGGTGCACAGTTGAGGCTGGGGAGGGACACAGGAGGGCTCCAGGGCATGTCCAGCCCCTCTTGCTCATTCAGTCCCCATCTGCCGGGTGGGCCCCAGCAGCAAGCTAACCTACCGTTCAGAGCGTCTAACCCCTAGTGATCAGTGCACATCATAGTGACTGGTCAACTGGTCAACCGTCTGCCCCCTGGTGGTCAGTGCACATCATAGTGAGTGGTTGAGTACTTTAGCATATCATTAGCATATTACACTTTGATTGGTTGAATGGACAACTGAACATTTAGCCTATTAGGCTTTTATTATATAGGATTAGCAAAATCTTTTCTATGTCCTTCTGTGGTTGCTTTCAATAGTGTAGACAAGGGAGATGATCTGTGTGGCTATGTGTTAGCACAGGATAGCCATTCCAAAAATTTTTTGGACATTTGTTTAATAGCAAGCTTTTGTGAATTTCCTCACAGTGAGGAAATATAACTAGGCTTAATGCAAAAGGTGGTGTCATAAAGGAAAGTATCATGTCACCTGGCAGCAAGTGAAGAATTTACTTTCTTTCATCTTGATATTTTGATAATCACAACAGCTAAGGTTTGCTGGGCACTTACTGTGTGCCAGTGCTGTGCTAAGCCCTTCACATGTGTGAACGCTGATGGTCACTGCACCTGTCAAAAGATGTTCATTAATGAGCACTTGGCTGCTAAACTTCGTCCTTGACATTGGAAAAACACATTCGAGAGAGAATCATTTCTGAAAATGGTAGTGCCGGTTTGGTATTTTACAAGAGAAAGCGACAGTTAGGACGGGTTCCACTTAAGAGGTTTTGATGGAAAAACTGAAAGAGCAGAAATCCACAAACCCTAGAAACTCTTCGTCAGAAAGGGAGCTCTTTGCTGAGCGTTTTCGTTTTCTGAACAGCAAGGCAGTTCGGGCCTGCATGGCATAGAGCTCCTCAGGATGATAAAGCAGGACTCAGCTGCTTCATATTTTGTCACCTATGTCCGTATCCCTTAACAATGTTTACATATAAAACTCGTGAAAGTGATTTGATGTGTTTCTTACTTGTTCTAGCGCTGGAATATCCCAACCTTGACATATCGGAGACAACCAGAGACTACTGGGTAATTACAGGTAATCTCTTATTTCCCCTTTCAGTCTACCAGGTTGGTTGGTTGGTTGTTGTTGTTGTTGTTGTTGTGTGTGTGTGTTTTAAACTGCATGTCAAAAAGAAAAAGAAAAACCTTAGAAAATTAAAACTGCATGTTACTCGGTGATAGGATTGGCATCCTTTTTTTGGTCCTGTCCTATGAGTCAGGGAGTTACTTTCACAGAACCAGGAGTGGGTGGAGTAAGCTGAAACAAGAAAACTCTCTCTCTCTCTCTCTCTCTCTCTCTCTCTCTCTCTCTCTCTCACACACACACACACACACACACACACACACACACACACACACCATCCTGAAGATGAACATTAGATAAGCCATTCAAAATAGCAAGCTGCAAGGCCCAGCTAGTGGCCCCCTCTTTGCAGCAAGTGGACCGCTCGGGAGGAACAGCATTTACCTGCGGACGTGCAGGGCGTGTCTGTGTGAATGGTTGTCTGTGTCCAGACTGGAGGCCTTTCTGCACTGCCCACAGAATGCCAGTGGGAGTCAGAGGAATGCCAACACGCACTCCCCGCTCCCCCCAGGCACGAGGCCCACGCCCACACCAGTCCTGTGGAGCCCAGGCGTGTCCTGACGGGGAGGGCGGGTGGAAGTAGAAGGGTGTTTGGGTGGCATTTTCTTTTTTCCCCTTGACATTTCCCAGCTGAGCTTTACAAAACAGCAAAAACAGTTCTTGTTTTTCAAAATCCCTACAGTAGTTCTGAAAAGCCAAGAAGCAAGGATTGGCAGCAAAGAGAGAAGGCAGGTGTTTCTAGGACAGGCCAGCCATAAAGGGAAGGGCCAGGAGGGGAGGTAGTGGCCTGCTAGGGCTGCCACGGAAGGTCCCCCAGGCTGGGGCGGGTGGGGGCTTCAATGATTCTAGAGGCTGGAAGTCCAAGATCGAGGTACCAGCAGGGTTGATTTTTCTTGTGGCCTCTCTTTTTGGCTTCCCTCTGTGTGTGTCTGTGTCCTAATTTCCTCTTCTTATAAGGACACAGTCATAGTGGATTAGGGTCCACTTCTATGATCTCATTTTACCTCAGTTCCCTCTTTAAAGGACCTGCCTCCACATATAGTCGCATTCTGAGGGAATGGGGGTTAGGACTTCGGCACCTGAATTTTGGGAGGAAGCAGTCCAACCCACAGCAAGGGGGAAGGGAGGTCCCATAAATTGTGCAAGATGTGCCTGGGCGAGCAAGCCCATCTAAAACCCGCTTCCTCCCTTCCACTTCCTCCCTTCTCGTTTCTCCCTCCCACACTGCGCAGGCGAGACGGGCCACTGCCTACACACGGGCACAGGAGCGTAGCCTTGCGAGGGGGCCTGCTCGAGACCTCTCCTAAATTGCAGAAAATTGCTTTTCTTTCTCTCCTGTGGAGCCATGGATATGCAGAGATTTTTTTTTTTTTTTTACCTGCTAAGACAAACTAAAGAAATGTGTTTAAAAATTTTTAAAAATAAACCTCACCAGAGTTTATGCCCAAGAGAGAGACAGTGCTAACACATTTTCCAAACCAGCAGATTATGTAACATTCACAAAACCAATTTTTTTAATCTACCAGAAATGCTGCTTTTTCATGTGCAGAGGTTTCCCCCCTTCTGTTAACGTAAAGGTTTACATTGGATGGAAGCACTTCCACTCTCAAACACTGGATGTCCGAGACGACCCCCTGTTTCAGTGTGCCCGGCCTCTAATGCAGTGACTTCACCTTAATAAGAAACTCCACACATGGTCTTGTTTTCAGGATCTTCCTGGGGCCTGGCACCTGTACCCTCACCTCCATAACCCTCATTTCTTCCTTCCTTCCTTCCTTCCTCCCTCCCTCCCTCCCTTCCTTCCTTCCTTATTTTCTTTCTTTTTCTTTTTTAAAATATATTTTATTGATTTTTTTACAGAGAGGAAGGGAGAGGGATAGAGAACTAGAAACATCGATGAGAAACATCAATCAGCTGCCTCCTACACTCCCCTCCCCCACACTGGGTACATGCCCTTGACTGGAATCGAACCTGGGACCCCTCAATCCACAGGCTAATGCTCTATCCACTGAGCCAAACTGGTTTCGGCTAACCCTCATTTCTTGTTGCTGCTGTGGCTGTTGGTGATCAGAAGAAACAGTGGCTTCCATCACTGTGTTTTGGGGGCAGTTGGGGCAGTTAGTGCTTGGAGGGAGGGGACTGAAACCAGCTCAGAACAATCTTCCTTGCTTTGGCTCTTTCTCATGCCACGGGCAGCCACCACAAACCTTTTACCATTAGTTACAGAAGGGGTAGGAGATTGGGAACAGAGAGATGGAGAGAGCTTTGTTCATCCTGTTCAAACCCACAGCCCCCTGAATAACCAACCACTCTGCCGTTCACTCTCAGACAGCCATCATGGGCACCCTCCCTACTGCCCATCGGTAACTTGGAGCAGCTTTCCTTTATTTAGTTTGTAGTATAAAACCCTGCCATGTTTTCCTCTGTATGCCCACTGAACTTACACATTTGCACACTGCAAACGTCTCCCCCCTCTCCGAGTGCGGGTCTCTTTTTGGTGGAAAGTCATTGGCTGAGGGTGACTCCTGTGGTCAGCCCACCCTTACAGAGAGCCCAGGAGCTACTCTGCTGTCCTTGTGTCTTGCAGTCCAGCAGAATGGAGAGGTACAGACTTAATATTGCTGCCTGACAGGTGAGAGCCCACTCAGGTTTGAAATCTGTCTCTGTTTCACCCGCCAGAGGCAAAATGCTCCAGACCCAGCCAGCGCAGCAGGGTTTCTTCTGGCCTCAGCTCTGCTACATACAAACCGAGTGTGTCCTTGAGCCAGTCACCCACTCTCTCCCTGTGGTCGTCCCACTCTCTCCCTTAGAATCAGAAAACAGGAGATGAACTTTCAGGTTCTTTTGGCTCCGAATGTGTGGGATTCAACCACCAATAAAACAGTTCAGATCGAATGCAGGAAACTGAACCAGGTCTGATCATTGGGACTTTCAGGCCCAGCTGCCTCCTAAGGACACAGTCTCTACTCGTAGAACAAGGAGGCACATTGGAGCTGTCCAGGTGCTGATTCCATGTCACCCTGTGGGAGGTTCCCTCAAACTCCTCACTTTCCTGGAACACCTCCCCCACCACCGACCCCCAACTTTTAAAATTGTGGTGAAATACACACAACATGAACAGTTCCGTTTTGGCCATTTTTAAATGTACAATTCAGTGGCATTAAATACATTCACAGCGTTGTACCGTCATCACTGCTATTACTTCTGGAGCTTTTTCATCACCTGGCTCTCTCTTTCTTCAATGTCACTGGGATTCTCACAAAGTAATCAACCCATGATGAAGTTCTCTGTGTCCTATGTCCTCTCTGCTACTCTTCCCATTGGTCAGGAAAGGCCAACTCAGAAGTAACCCTTCAGCAGTGGATTATGAGATTTTACTAGAGGGGCAGCTCTGAATGAGCAAGAGCAGGGCTCTCCTGTCTGGGGCCCCGGGGTAGGCTGTGTCGGGGGGAGGGATTCCCAGGGGCCTCTGTGGGGCCTGCCCCAGTGGGAACAGCACCTGAGCGTTTTCTCATTGTCGGCAGGAATCCCGCTGACAGCTGAGCTGCGAGTCCCTCCCAAGGGCCCTAGAAAGAGAGCGGCTTTATGCCCTTCATGGGGATTATTCGGTATTTATGGCCTCAGGGAAGTAATTTCTGAGACTCAGCTATGGGTTTTACTTCTTTCTCCACCAGTTAAAAATAATTCTCTGTAGCTCAGTGCCCGTTGCTTGCTCTGGCCCTGAGCAGTATGCGATCATAACGGCACATTCTTTATAACCAAGCTGTGTCTGTATCCCAGTAGATGGCTGGCATTAATGGTCTCTAGCTGGACCATGGTAGGACAAACTCCCCAACCCACGTACGTTTTGGTTTCTTTAAGATGAGGGTTGTTTTTAGCATTTTTTTATTTCAAGGATGGCTGTGTGTGAAGGCAGTGTTGGTGTGTTTGGGATGAAGTGAGCTTCTCAAGGGACTTGGAGGAAAGCCTAGATTTGGGGAGTTGACAGCAAAAGACCATCAGTCACTCTCACAGTCACTGCAGTCCTCACCCTGGTGTTCATCCAAATCCTTCCCCCAGCACCAGCCACGCCTGGAATTCCATGCCTTACCTGTTGATTGCAGGTGCCATGGAGTAGATGAAGCTCAGCGTGGAGGACAATGGAAAGAGGAGTTTCGTGTGCCTTCCATGCACTGGGCACTGTGCTAAGCTCCCTTATACACCTGGTCTCATTTCAGCCGTAGGTCTCTTGAGGATTATAGTTGCTGTGATGTGGACTTCTGCCCTTTCTACAGAGGAGGACTCGGACGCAGACAGGGCCAGCTTCTTGCTGAAAGTTTCACACTGGCAAGAGCTCGATCTTCCTGTCCCACTGCCCTGCCCTCAGATGGAAGAGTACCCAAGGGGCCCGGGGCAGCTTTGGGGTGGCTCTCAAAGTGGCCAAGAGGAGGGAGAGATGAGGACATGGAAAAGGGCGGTGTGCCAGGTTGTAATGGCCCGATTTGCAGGACGGAGCTTAGCTTCCTCAGCAAAGCTGTTGAGGAGGAAAAATAAAATAAGGGTAGCCCGGAGCCTGAGCTTTTCTGAGTGGGAACCAGCAGAAAATCCAGCTATGGGTTTTACTTCTCTCTCCAGCTAGCCAGACCTGTATCTAGGCCAGGTTCCCGTATGGACTCTAACAACACGTAATCTTCAATAAGGTTTGGATTTATTTCAGCAGCGTTAGACGTGTCTCAGCCCACGGAGGAGAGAGTCTGGGCTTTGATTGGGTTGGGACGCTCACTTTTCTAGTCACTAGCTGTGACCTGGACAAGTCACTTAACCTTCCAGCATCTATAACACGTGGATAGCGATTCCCACCTCCTGGGGCTGTGGTTGAGAGCAAAGTGAGGTCAGGATGGCCAAGCCCTCACATGAGGTGCCTTGTGGTTGGGGCAGCGATGGAGGCGGTTGTGGTTCTGAGTCAGCAGGGAGCCTGTCCGCTGAGTAGCCCCTCTGCCTTCTGCCCCTCCCCGCAGTGCTGCAGGGCGTGGACAATTCGCTGGTGGGTCTGCACAACCAGAGCTTCGCCCGGGTCATGGAGCAGCGCCTGGCCCAGCTGTTCATGATGTCCCAGCAGCAAGGCCGGCGGTTTAAACGGGCCACCACCCTGGGAAGCTACACCGTGCAGGTGGGTGTTCGCGAAGCCTCCGGGGTCCTCTCATACCTGGGGGAGAGGGGATGTGCTGCCTGAGACTAAGTCATCATGCTACGTGCAGAGGAGCAGGGGCACTGCAGACCGACTGAGCCATTTAATCAACGCTGCTCTTAGGATGTGAGGTCAGGGGTCATGACATCAAAATGACAGGTGAGAGTTAGCTGCTCTCACTACTAGAGGGTAAGGAAAGGAGGTTTCGGAACTGTCGGCAGGCACGCAGATGTTTCTTCCACAGAAAGTTGTAAGGAAGCAGGCACAGGCTACTCAGCAGCCTGCTCCGTGGGCTGGATGAAGTCCCAGCTCTCGGGACTCCCAGGCCCTCTCACCACCACCGCTGTGAAGGGCAGGCGAACCCACGGCATTCCAGGTGCTGGTTCTGTTTTCCTTATTTAGTCAATTTGGACAAACAGAGCCTTCCAGGATTATAACGGACACATGGCCACACAGGGATTTAGGCTAAGGAGCCATAGCAGATGCTGTTGGTGCTCTGCCCAGATCCCTTTTCCATTTCTATCAGTGCCAGCAGCCACCTCTGAACCAGGACTAGAGGCTCAGTGCATGAAATTCGTGCAAGAGTAGGCCTTCCTTCTCCCAGTTGCAGGCACCGACTTTTCTCTAGGCACCCAGACTGGCTTCCCTTGCAGCCCTGCCTTCGGCTGGAAGGACCTCTGGTCTAATTAGCATATTATGCTTTTATTATTATAGATTGCTCTTGAGATGCAGGAACCCACGTAGCCCACACCATGGTGGCTGGAAGTGCCTAGGAATTAATTAACCTTTGGGGTGGGGTATAAATACCTCAGCTCCCTGGTTTCCTAGCTAGGAGAATTCTGAAATGTATCTTTTCCATCACTTCCAGAGCTTTCCCACAGAATTAAGCGTTCATTACCCACTGTGGTAACTGGCTTAATAACACCCTTTTTAGCCCCTCCCTCTCCCATTCCCCCCCCCCCCCATATCACCTATTCACCTTCTTGCAGTTTCTTTCAGCTCAGCTCTCAAATAAACTATAAACACTCAACTCTTCTGAGTCTGTTCCTTGGGACCCTAGGAGCAGACAGTGGCCATTCCCAAAGTAGGGACTCTAAGCCTCTAGATTCCTTACCTGGTTCAAGCGAGAGTGAGACTCTCTAGCGTATTCTAGCCAATCCTCATGCCTTGCATAGCCCTCATTTCACCCAAGGAGAACCCATTTCTGACATTTGTGAGCAAGGTAACACATTACAGAAGGGAACCCTCAGTAGCTGCCTCCCGGTTGGAATTCCCCATTGGAATCTAGCCCACAGCCCTGGGGTGTGAACTCCTGATTGGCAGTTCACCATTCGGTGGGTGTAAGTTAACCCAAACGTACATGCATGGCATCAGCACTGTCTGCCAGGAAGCGAGGAAGTAAGTTAACCCAAACATACATGTATGGCATTGCACTGTCTGCCAGGAAGCAAGAAGGAAGCGTTTGAAAGGAAGTTGCAGTCATGACCACAATCTGCCTGCAGGTCATGCTCCAGGCAGTCTGTAAGTACAAAGAGTCCCTCTCCTGTGGAGTCAGCTGTGCCCCCGAGGGCCAACCCAGGCCTGGCGTTCACAGTGGGTGACTTCGGTCCCTGGTCCTGTTGGATCTGGCTTTGCTTCTAAAGGTCTTTGTGGCCTGTGACAGCCTGGTCCGAGGTAAAGCGAGACAATTAATTTTGCGCACCTGGCTGGTGATTTCCCCTCTGCGGGTTCCACTGAGCTCTGTAATTCACACTTCTCCAAACAGCAGAAAGGAAGTTGCTCCGAGGACAGTGACGTGGGACTTGCCTCCGCTGAAGTGGAAGGCAAATTATTTCCTAGTCACACCTTACAGTCTTGGTGTGATTAGGAAAGCTAACAATCTAATAGCATTTTCTGTGTTGAAAGGGGTCCCAGTGAGACGTGCTTCTCTCTCTTCTGAGGACCCAGTGTGCTTGGCCGCACCAGTCGCCTGAAAAGTCTGAGCAAAGCACGTGGGGATTGATTTCTGCAGAGCCCTCATTTGCAGGGGTTGTAGAGCCCCTTCTAGCATTACCCTGGGAGAAATCTTGCTGAGAAGGATTTGCTAATAAATTGGAATGGAGTGAAGTTACAGATATCTGAAAGCTCATCCACCTTCTCACTGGTTGTACTGACACTCTCTCCCCCTCTCCCACGAGGGACAGGAATAACGTGCCCAAGTTTCCCAAGTAAAATTCACTCCACATGCCTGACACCATCCTTCCACACAGAGAGGCCTTCCTTTTGGGATCTGATTATTTTAAAAGATGGGCCACACTCATGAATATGGAGATTTAGAGGTCTAGAATTTAAAGATATTTCTCTTTCAGTATATTTCGTTGCTACTTCATAACTAATTTTGCTATTGTTACGAATCCTAACGTAAATATCTGTGTTTTCTGATGGTCTTAGGTGACCCTGCTAGTGGTTCTCAACCTGTGGGTCATGATGGTCTTAGGTGACCCAATGGTCTTAAGCGACTCCCGTGAAAGGGGTCTTGACCCACAGATTGAGAACCGCTGCTGTAGAGCCTAAGACCATCGGAAAACACAGATATTTACATTATGATTCATTAACAGTAGTAAAATTACAGTTACGAAGAAGCAACGAAAATAATTTTATGGTTGGGGGTCACCACAACATGAGGAACTGTATTAAAGGATCATGGCATTAGGAAGGTTGAGAACCACTGTTTTAGATGGTCACAAACTTACTTATAGAGACTCATTTTGAAGATAGAGGTAAACACAGAGACAAAGGGTGAGCGCAGTGCTTCTCAGATCGTGTCAAGAAAACGGTCCCCACTGAGCTTTTTTTAAATATACTCATTGTCTATCTTGCTTTGTGAATTGTCCAGAGTTTTTTAAACCCATTGTTATTGGGTTGTAGTGATATCTATTTCTAATTGTTATATATAGCATATATACCAAGGGGTATAAAAATATGCAGAGTTTAAAGACCACTAATATAAAGAACCCACAACCCAAAGGATGAGAACTTTGTTCTTAGCTTACTGTGGAGCTTTTTATGTGTCATCTTTTACTGTACACATTTCCTTTCATTCTGTCAGAATTGACTGTGCCTGTACTTTCTGTACGTATTTCACCAATCATGTGTATCCCCAGACAGTACATCATTTGGTTTTGCCTGTTTTTGAATTTAATATTCTGTGATTTGTTTTTTGTTTTGGGTGAGTTTTTGTTTTGTTTTGTTTTTGCTCAATGTCAGACTTTTGTATTCAGCCAAATTGATACAAATAGTGAGAGTTCATTTATATTGCTCTATAACATTTCATTATGTGACTATCCTATACTAGAATAGTAGAATATCCATTCTACTATTAGTAAATTTTGACTTTTTAGGTTTTTTTTTGCTCTTAACAGTGCTGTTATAAACATTTTTGTAATATCTTTCAATAGCCTATAAAACTCATAATCGGTATATCTACTTTGGAAAGACACTATACTGTACCATAATGTCTGTTAGTTGTTCATTCTAATAGTGAAAATTTGATAGCAACCAAAGTGTTCAAAAATGAAGGTTAGTTACGTGTATGAGGCACACATACAGTAGAACATTATGTCAGTATTAAAATGTATGTTGTACGTATTTGTAATGATTTCCAGTTGTTAATCACAGTGCTGGAAAATGAGTAACAATTTAATTGTTTAGCAAGAAAGGATTTGCTAAATAAATTTATGAGGTCTGAGTTAGAATGTAGGAATTGACATTTATGCTTTTGTTATATTTAAGGTCATTTAAAGATACAAGTAAAAACACCAATATGTTACACTATAGAGAGAGTGCTATAAATAATTTTGTAAAATAATAAATAAAAGATTTGTGTGGGAGAAAACAAAGAATAGAAGCAAATACTCCAAAATGAAAATAGTCATTAGCTTGTGGTGGTGGGAGTATAGGTTGTTTTAATTTTGTTTTATTTCTGGATGCTTTTCTGTGTTTTCAGATTTTCTATAGTGAATATGCGTAACTTGTACAGTGGGGGTAAAAGCAACAAAGGTTATTTTAGAAAAAAAACTTTGAGTCTCCAGCTACTATTTTTATCATCGATCTTTCGAATTGCAGGCATAGAAGTTCATTCCCTACCCCTCTCTGGCAATTGCAGGAATTTATGTTTTTCTTTTTGTCTTGTGGTTGTTTTTCCCCCCAACTCTTATTTATTTTTTTAAGAAAAACGATTTTAACTCTAATAATGTAATCCACATTAATATTTCAAGAAAAACGATTTTAAGTATAATAGTATTGCATGCAATAAAAATCAATATTTCAAGAAAGAAGGATTTTAAGTATAATAAATATTACCAAAGCTGTGCTAACGTAGTGTAATTTTGCAGGAATTAGAAATTAGAAATCTTGCTTGAGAGATAACTTGACATGCCCTGAATCAATGCACAGGCCTATTTTCAAATGAGGCCAGTGCTCTCTGGAGCCTGGGAGACATCTCCATTTCAGCGTTTGTATCTGCAGCCTCAAACTGTGCTGCCCAGATTTTCATATTTCTTGCTCCCTGTCTCCCCCACCAGCTACAGCAGGGCTTCTTGCGGGTTTGGTGACAGGGAGCCACGTTAAGGTTGGTGTCTCAAATGCACGCTGAGGGATTGCAGGGTCTCTGCAGGATGCCCTATAAACATGGCCTCTTTTTTCCCCAAAAGATGGTGAAGATGCAGCGGGTGCCGGGACCCAAGGACCCCGCAGAGCTGACTTACTACACCCTGTACAACGGGAAGCCTTTGCTGGGAACCGCGGCCGCCAAGATCCTGAGCACCATTGACTCCCAAAGGATGGCCTTGACCTTGCATCACGTTGTCCTCCTGCAAGCTGACCGTAAGGGGATAGTCTTCCATTCGTTATTTTTAGCGCCGTTAAATGTTTCCTGCAAATGAAAGGGATTCCCTAAGCTCCTGCTGAAGGGCCCAGAGAGAAACATTTCTGTAAAGAAGGTGTTTAAATCAGTCAGCTGTGGGTGAAGCAGTAGGTTCTGGGTAAAGGACATGTTTTTCATATTGGAAAGATAGTAATGATATTGCTACACCCAAATGTACCCACTCTTCCTCCTCGGGGAATAGCTGGGGAAATCACCGGAGCTGAGATCGTAGTCATCTGCTGGGGAATTGAAGATAACCTGATTCACTAAGTACCTATCTGTAGAGTCCTACAGGAGCTGCGTTGGTTCTGGAAGACACACAGAAATGGGCTCTGCCTTTAAGGGGCCGAGAGGGAGCTGATGCAGGATATGAAGGTGTGGACTGCAGGAAAGCGCTACAAACTTAAGATGACCAGAGGTCCGGCTTTTGGCAGGACAGTCCCGATTTTTAATAATTTGTCCTGTGTCCCACTGCGTTTTAAAAAAATTGGGACTTTTTTAAAATGCCACAGGACGCGGGACAAATTGTTAAAAATCGGGACTGTCCAACCAAAAGTGGGATGTCTGGTCACCTTATACAGGGGGCAGTATGATGCTGGGGTCAACCCAGGGAGGTTTGCTCTGAAGGGACTTCTGAAAAGAGTGAACAGAGAAGGGAAATTAAAAATAATAGCTGCCTCTTTGAATACCTTCCCCTGTGGCAGCTGCTATTTTCTTTTAAAATATATTTTTATTGATTTCAGAGAGGAAGGGAGAGGGAGAGAGAGAGAGAAACATCAATGATGAGAGAAAATCATTAATCAGCTGCTCCCTGCAGGCCCCCTACTAGCGATTGAGCCCACAACCCAGGCATGTGCCCTTGACCGGAATAGAACCCCAGGGCCCTTTGGTCTGCAGGCCTACGCTCTATCCCCTGAGCCAAACCGTCTAAGGTGCAGCTGCTGTTTTCATTGCTTTATATAGACGTTCCCACTTTTCCCTCTCATTGGGACTTTATTCAGCTGCAAGTTACCGATGAGGAAACCGAGGCTCAGAAAAGTTAACTAACTTGGTCAGTGCTGCAGAACTAGTACCGAGGTCGCCACGATATGAATCTGTCTGACTGCAAACGTGTGTTCTTAACGATCCCTCGCTGAGGTTTCAGCAGAGAGAGAGGAAGGGTGTATTTTCCAGAAAGAGGGAGCAGCATGAGAGAAAGAATGGAAGTGAAAAGTACCAGGTGTGCTTGCAAAGCAAGGCGTTCAAACAGCCTGGAGTGCAGACACCTGGGGAGGAATTGATGGCCTTGGAGACACGTACTGCTTCAGAGAGTCCGGCCTTGGTGGGCCGGGGAAGAAGACTATACATAATGTGATTCATTTACTAGAGATTTTTTTTTAAATTTTTATTTAATTGTTTAAAGTATTACACATAGTAGTACACATATCCTTTTTTCTCCCCCTATTGACCTTCCCCCAGCCTCCCCTATCCCCGTTGCATGCATGCATATAAGCATAACCAATGGACACAAGACACTGGGGGGGTAGGGGGGAAGAGGATGAGGGTATTGACAAATTTTTATCTGACTTGTTGTCTCTTCTGCATCGCTTCTCCTGTTCTCGTCCATCCTCTACTTTGACTTCTCAGTGCTGTGGCCTCCTCACTGCTGATGAAGACCTTGGGAAGGGGCAGAAAAGCGAGAGCTGGCTTTAGGAGAGCAGGAGATGAAGGGAGTGTCAGGGGGAGGGTGGAGGCGAAGGGGACTTGGCTGACGCAGTTGAAGAGGAGCCGTGGGAGGTGTGAAAGCACAGGTGGGGGAGAGATTGTATCCGAGTAGAAGATGCGTGAAACCTTTTGGAAGTGAGAGTCCAGGAGCCATCTAGGGGGGTGCCCAGAGGTGTGGCTATGACTCCGAGAGCCAGGCTCCCAACCCTGCTAACCTGGCTCCCATGCTGCTGTCCCTCAGTCTTGCTTCTTTGTCTCCCCCGAGTTGACGTGGTCCTCTCAGTTCCCTTCTGCAGTAACTCACACTTCTCTCTCCTTTTCTCCTTTCATAGCTGTGTCCTCTCGGACTTGGCAGGTGCTTCCCACAAACTCAGCCTCAGTCGCTTTGTCGTGAATGCACCGTCCACACTGCAATTAGAGCCACTATCTATACCTTGGAAAACACAGGTTGTGATCTTACACCTACTCCATTAAAAATCCAGACTCTGAAACAGCGGTCTCCCAAGCCCTTCCCAGCAGGCACTGCACCAGTGTCCAGTTCCCTTCCCAACCTGGTTTCCGCCTACTTTTCTCTCCTTCCTGCCTAATGCTTCAGCCACAGGAGCATTCACCCCTCACTCTCCTGATTCCTCTGAAGCTTTGCTCGGCCCATGAAGCAGAGCCCCCTCCCCCCAATCTTTCCTATCGATAGTTCTAGGGGCTTCCATTGCTCTCATCCCATTGAGCAAACAAGTTGTTGTTGCTCTCTCTCTCTTGAGCTCTTTAAAAGCAGCTGCCACATTTCCTTTATCTTTGGAGATCCAGCCCCCACTGCTGTCTAGCACTGTTCTTGTAATGGCAAAAAATAAAAAATAAAAAAACCAGCCTTTGCTAAATGCTGTGCCAGGCCCTGAGGGAGGCACACAGTTGGAAGACGCCAACGCAGAGCAGTTGCGAGCAGAGCCTTTTTAGGAAGACAGACCTGGATTCACCCCACCCGCTGTTCTTCCACTTTGTCGCCATGGAGTCAGAGACCAATGAATGATCCTCCCTGACCTCTATTTTCCTTCTCTGTAAAGAGGTAACATAGAAAACAGATCTAGTAGAGCTACTCAGAGGACTAAATGAGAGAATTATTACATGGAAAGGGCTTAGTACAATCCTACTAAGCACTTACTCAGTAGTAGCTGAATGTCTCATTTATCCATAAGATAGAAGGACTAATGGAGAGAGGGAATGAAGATGGAAAGGAGATTTGAAGGTTAAGAACCATATACTTCATGGAACAGGGTGCTATTAATGAAAGTAGAAAGGGGATTAGAGGAGGAACGCATTTTTAGAAGGGAGAGGTAATTTATTCTGTGTGGGCCAGGTTGAGTTTAAAGTAATGAGCTGTTAAGGGGTGTTTCGGAGGTATCGAGGAAGTTCTGATAAAATATTAAGAGGGTATTGATGGGATATTGACGGCTGAAGTTAAAAAAGTTGGAATTCAAGCCTGGATCGCAGGAGAGAGGTGAAAGGTAACACTAGATTTGAGAATGTCACAGATAGAGGAGAGAGTTAGAATCCCAGAGACAAGCTGAGTGCACAGGAAGAGAACATCTAAAGGACAGACCCTGGGGAATGCCTCCATGCCCGGATTGGATGAGGAAGAAGCTGAGGCCAGTGAGAAGAGAGGAACAGAGATGTTCTAAGCCCAGTTTTCTCCTCATGGTTTTGAAATCAGCCCGCAATGTAAACAAGAGCCTTGTGGGCCACACTCCGAGTGGAATGATGGCCGTGGGGTGGTTTGGGCAGGAGAGCAACATGGACAGAGCACTCACAGCTGGTGGGCCCCTGAGCTAGGCCCTCCTCCTCACACCAGCATGAGCTTTCACAGCCACAAAAAATGAGCAGGAGATATTTTTGGATAGATTTCTCCTCCTTTCAACACTTGTTCCATGTAAGAGTAATTTATTTTTAGTTTAGATTATGTGGACCCTTGGACTTCATTCTTTCTGACAAATACATGTGTGTGTGTGAGTGTGTGTGTGTGTGTGTGTGTGTGTGTGTGTGAACTCAGAAGTGACTTCACCTGTGTATCTCGGGGAAATGATTTTTCATAAAAGCACCTATCCCCTTGGGACTCAGTTTGCTCACCTGCAAGTTGGGGGTAAGAACAGCCCCTGGTCAAGGTCCTAGCACAGTGCCTAACGCACAGCAGAGGCTCAGAATGTTGTCTCCTTTTCCTGTCCTTCTCTACTGCAGTTCTTGCACGTTAAACAACCATTTGTTTCTTTTCACCTCTGTGCATGACTTTGTAGTTCTAGATCATTATGCCAATGAATATATTGTGTTTGGGTGACTTCAGTTGACCTCACTTTACCGTCTCTTTGACTGTTAAATCAATTTATTAATGTACATACGATAAATCAATTCTCTCCTCATTTAAATAGAGGTGAGAGGATTTTAGACTGCTTGGGGAAGGAACATATCCACCAAAACCATAAAGCTAAGTAAAAGCTGAACACATGTCAATATTTCATTCCTGCTAATGAAAAAAATTAGATGTATATTTGGCGCATCGTGTTCTAATGCACTTTTCTTTATCGGGATAGAATAATAGCACAGCCCAAAAGAGGCCTGTTGGTATTTGTCACAGTGGATCTAAGCTTTAACAAATGTTGAAGGCATAAAACTATAAATGTCAAATTACTAAAAGCAGCAGCAATGAAATGTTTAATGTCAACAGAAGCTCATTATCTAATGAGCTGTTTTTAGAAGTTAATAATGTGATTAATCTCCGATTGACAGAAACTGGGGGAAAGAAGTTCTTTTGTGCGAACAGCACTTCAGAGCTAAGTGCTGGCTGGTGAGAGATCTTGGCCAACACGACACCAGTTGAAGTCAGGGGGTGGCTGCAGTCAGAAAGACAGGCGGGCTGGCTCCCCAGGCAGGCCCTCACCAGGGGCACTTACCAGCCGGGTCTTTATATTCCAGAGTCTGGTCCTCAGCAGGATCAGGAGGGTCAATTCATGCCAACCAGATTGCCAAGAAATTGATATAGAAAACAGATTGGCAGTATGTCTGTCTAAAATATGGATTAGAACTATTAAGAAGAGAGTATTTCTCCTTTTAACTGCCCATTATTCTATCCTGTATGAAAATCTGCATGGGATGAAGCCAAATTGCAACAGGGGTAAAGGTGATTCATTTAGATTGTCATTCAACTTTAAAATATAATATATATATATATATATATATATATATTTTTTTTTTTTTTTCAGAGAGAGAAAGGGAGAAGGAGATAAAAACATCAATGATCAGAGAGAATCATTGATCGACTGCCTCCTGCACGCCCCCTACTGGGATTGAGCCTGCAACCCAGATATGTGCTCTGACCAGGAATCGAACCCTGACCTCCTGGTTTATAGATTGATGCTCAACCACTGAGCCACACCAGCCGGCCAGCCGGATCCTTTTGACTAGACGGAAACATTTTCAAGTTTCCCCAGCCAGCCATTTGGGAAGGTGGAAGGGAGGCTTCCACTGGTTACACTTTAATCATTGCACACTCAGAGGGTGCGTTCACAACAATACTTAGCGTTATCTCTCTGTGGCCTCTGCCTCCTGATTCCAGCACTACTCTAATGCTCAGATGTAGTCCTCTTCTCTTTTGATTCATGGGCATCACCGGTGAGGAAAATGATATGTCTCCATCTTCCTCCTCTTCTTCCTCCTCCTAGTCATAGTGAAGGCCGGCATTTTATTGAGCAGCTACCAAAGCACCACATGTGTCTCGTCTCCCTGACGCCTCTCAATGTGATAGCTCCATTTTACAAATGAGAAAACTGAGACTCAGAGACCTTGAGTCCCTTGCCCAAGGCAGCAGTCTTCCTGATCTTAAATCCTCGTAACCATCCCACGACTTGGGACTGGGGGTTAGGGGGAGGTTTCTCTCCGGTGGCCTCTCCCTTCCCAGTGCTCCTTGTCACGTGCTTCCCGCTGGCTCTTCCCCGCAGCTGTGGTGAAGAACCCGCCCAACAACTTGTGGATCATCGCCGCGGTGCTGGCGCCCATCGCCGTGGTCACGGTCATCATCATCATCATCACGGCCGTGCTCTGCCGGAAGAACAAGAACGACTTCAAGCCGGACGCCGTGATGAACCTGCCCCAGCGAGCAAAGGTACGCGGTGCACGCGGGGAGGTGGGCGGCAGGAGCCCGGCCTGCAGGGCGGCTCCACCTGTCTTTCCTCTCCTGGCCTTGGAGACATGGAAGTGCCTTCAGAAACATCCTAACCAGCCCAGCTTTTGAAGAAGACCCTTTATGCGTTAATTCACGTGTTTTCATGTTTTAAAAATTTATGAGGAAACATGCATAACAAAATGTACCATCGTGGCCATTTTTAAGTGTCATTACGTAGCGTTACTTCGTTGCACACCCTTTCATTTTATAATCAGGACACGATAGCTAACGCGTATCTCCTGCTCAGTCTTCGCCATCAGTGCTTTACATAGAACAGCTCAATCCTGCAGCAACCCTGGCAACAGGGCCCTTGTTTTGCAGAGGAGGAAGTGGAGGCAGAGAAATCTAGGTAGACCTCGTCTCTGACACCCCTTTTTACAAAAATGGGACTCCTTCAAGATCGCACAGTTAGTAAGCAGCAGAACGGGTAGAATTTGGTCTCTTGGCTCATAATACACAGATCTTTGGGGCACCTTAGACCCCTTCTCCCCCAAAATGTTCCTTCGTCCATTGGCCAGAGCGGCTTCTCCTCCGAGGCTGCCGTGATGGGCAAGCTGCAGAGCCTCGGCCGGTCCGCCATCAAACTCCAGTGGCTCCAGTGAAGCCTGGCTGGAGCCCCACCCGCTCTCCCAGCCTCCACAGGCCTGCCCCGGCACTCTGCTCACTGGAAGGGAAGCGGGTGGAGGATGTTCCAAAGGCTGATTTTCCAGTCAGGTAGCTCCCTCTGTGATAATTCTGTAAAGGAAACCTAATAGCCTTCAATCCCCAAAGTTTAAATAATGTCCTAAAACTTGTGGGGCTCTTCTAGGTCTGGCACCTCGCTTGCTCATCATAGCAACCCTATGAGGTAGGTGGTAGTCAGGGAAAGTTTTATTTTATCGCTAAAGAGAGACTGTGGGGGCCCAGCCAGTGTGGCTCAGTGGTTCAGCATAGACCTATGAACCAGGAGGTCATGGTTTGATTCCCAGTCAGGGCATGTGCCCGGGTTGCAGGCTTGATCCTCAGGATGGAGCGTGGAGGAGGCAACTGATTAGTGATTCTCTCTCATCATTGATGTTCCTATTTCTCCCTCTCCCTTCTTTTCTGAAATAAATGTGTATATATACATATATATTTTTTTTAAATTTTTTTAATTGATGGACTTGTCCAAAGTCACATAACTCTCAGCAGAGGGATGACTGAGGCCCATGTCTGAGTCTTTGGGCTCTTTTACTTTATATACTTCTCTGAACCCTGAGCTTTGACAGGTAGAATCCCCTTCTAGCTCTGAGCTCACAGGAATGAGGCGGTGGATGGAATTGCATATCCATTGGAATGCGTGTCCTGCAGCTCATTCTTGCTGGGAGTCACACATGCCTCATTCTTTCTGGGTGATCATCCCTCACGACAGCCAAAGAAATCAAATGAATTTGATTATTTATTAAACCAATTCCCTCGTTGAGAAGCTGCAGCCTGAGTAGACTCCCTGATACCGAAGAGCCAAACCCCGAAGAATGCTGTTCTGATTCTGTTGACACAAAGCAAGCTGCTTCCCAGATGCATCACAATGTTGGTAATGATCCAAGCCGTGAAAGAGGAAACCATTCCAAGCAGGGTACTTCATTTCCATCTGAGCTTACTGACAACCCGAGCCTCTCAGACACAGCAGTAATCACCAGAATGTAACTGCAGTCCAGCCCAGAGATACAAAGCATGCTACACTGAGGTCATAGACGCCTCCTTTGTGTTATGGGTGAAGCCAAAATGTTATTAATTTGCCAAGAGGAGTTGGCCGGCACATGACCTCAGCATACCTTTTGACTTGTAAGCCACCTGACGTGGGAACAGATTGGGCTCCTTTTTATGTTCCTACCTGGTCACTGTGCTGATGTGGAAAGTCAAGCAACTCTCTGTTGCAAGAGATGATTGAATTCACTTGTGTGTGTGGTGATGCTGGCTGTTTTCTCCATAATGAGGCTGGACTATGTCCTTGGATGGCTGAAGCCCTTTGGTCAAGGTCGATCCCGCGAACCAGGGGTTGTGACTCTTTCTTACTGCATCCTTCTGCCCTGGCGACCCAGCAGCACTGCAGTGTGTGCAAGAGGAGAGCCACCTGCGCTGCTTCCCATGACCTGTGTGTGAGCAGAGTGCATTGCATGACAAGGGATGAGGTGGAGTGAGAAAGTCAGCCTTTGCCTCCAATCCACAGACCGAGAGGGTGGGCTCCCAGTCTCCTGGACATCACTGCACCTTTAGGATGCAGGCCACAGTGCCAGAGGGCACGGGGGGTCCTGGCAGAGACTCCGTGCTAAGAGGAGGTGATGTGGCTGTCCTGGGAGTGGAGGCCAGGATGGAAGGCCCGTGCCCTTCAGAGACAGACCCGTTTCCATGGTTGTCAACTGGGCTTTTGCAGGTAGAATGCTGAGAGGATGATCAATGCAGGGAGGGCCAGGCAGTCACCTCTTTTCTTCCTCGCTCGCTTCTCTTTACTCTTTGTCATCGAGTCCACAGCCTATTCCCATTGTTCTCTTCATATACTTGACGAGAACATGGCACCGAGGGACAGGCAACCTTACGAGACACTAGGCAGGGCCGTATCCAGGAGCTTGGAGGGCCTGCAGTGGTTGGCATGATCATCTGCTCAGGTCAGGTCAGTCACCCCCAAAGATGCCCAACTGTTTCCTCGCTCTCACATACTCTCTGTATGACCTGGACTTAACCTCTTTGTGCCTCCGTTTCCCCATCTGCGGAAGGAGGATGGTAGGTTGTTGTGAGGATTGAGTTATGTACATTACTTTGAGCTGCACCTGGTATATAATAAATAGGATGTACCAGTTGGCTTTTATTATGACAATGCTTTCTACTTAACATATCTGGGTAACATGTCTACTTTTGGAATTGTTAGAGATCATTGGATGGGATAGTTTTATAAAATTCAGTGAAGAAACTATAAAGACTTCAAGATGATGTATTGAAGGGGTTGGGGACCACTAGTTGTATCTAATGGGCAATTTCATCTCGGGCAGTTTCTCTGTTGGGGGTGGAAAGAACCACTCCCCTGTCAGTCAGAAGAGTAAGGGACTAGGAGTCATTCACCGATTAGCTGTGTGATCTTGGGCAAGTCCCTGAACTTCTTTAAGCTTTTGTTTTCTTACATGTAAAATGAAGACTGTGATGTTCTCCCTGCTTGCCTCATGGGATTCTGTGAGGACAGAGGGAGGTGTCAGCGTTTTGCAGGCTCTCAGTACTGAGCATATGCAGGGGCTGTTATTAACCTAATAACTACGACCACCTCTTAAGCTTGTCATTCTTTAGTGTCTTTGTTTCTGCTTACCTGTTACCAGCCCAGATCCAGCAGGGAACTTCACCCAACGTGAAGGGTGAGGAGCCAAATCCACAGAGAGCTGGGGGTCGGGTTAGAACACCAGAGTCAGCTTGTCCTCCTCACTCTGTTCTTGAGAAGTCTTGGCTGCCATTGGAGGAGACTCCCAGCTACTCATTGACATGCTGGGAGTCTCAGCACAGGAGCAAGGCCAAGTACAGGAGGAGATGCCCCACCGAGATGGCAGGCTGTGGGAGGAAAGGAGAGGCCGTGGGGAGAGCCATCAGCGGTGGTTAGGTATTCGGCTCTGGCTCCACAGACCCGCTGTGTGAGCCTGGGTAGCTGCTTAACCTCCCTGAACCTCAATTTCTTCATCTTTAAAATGGGGCCTCCATAAGAATAGCTGCCTCTTTGAGTGTAGTGGGGATAAGTGGTTAGTGTATGTCATGTGTTTGGTTCTGTACCCGCAATAGCAAGTGAAGCTGCAGCTGTGAAGTTCTTGAGGGTAGGGGGACAGTTATTATTCACTTTTATATCTCCAGCAGCAAGCACAATCCCTGGCACAAGCCACTGCTAAATAACTATAGCTGGAACAAAATCAAATAAGATAATTGGGGGAAGGCAGAAACCGGTTTGGCTCAGTGAATAGAGCATCGATCTGCGGACTGAAAGATCCCAGGTTCGATTCCTGTCAAGGGCATGTACATGAGTTGTGGGCACATCCCCAGTAGGGGGTGTGCAGGAGGCACCTGATCCATGTTTCTCTCCCATTGACATATCTAGCTCTCTATCCCTCTCCCTTTCTCTCTGTGGAAAATCAATAATAGAGATAGAGATAGAGATAGAGATAGAGATAGAGATAGAGATAGAGATAGAGATAGAGATATGGATAGATAATTAGGGGGGAGGGAAGGGCTGGGAGTATTGCAGAAAAGGTGCCAGCAGGAGATGAGGCTGGGGAGGTGAGTTCAGCCAGAATGGGAAGGGCCTTGAATGCCTTGTCGTAGAGATTAGGTGCCGCGAATCATTTTTAATGACCTGACGTGGTTTAAGGGAGATACCTTTGGCGGCTTGTTAAGAGCAGGCCTGCCAAGGAGCAGGATGGAAGCAATGAGACCAAGGCAGGAGCTAGTAACACAGCGGACTTGGAGAGCAGAGGTCAGCGTCTAGGAACATTTCAGTTGAATGCAATTGGTGACCAGTTGGTCATAAGAGCTTCTAAGAACACTATCAGTCTTCCAAAAGCTCTATTCTGTTTCATGTAGCCCCACGGGCGGGGAGGGAAATGAATAGACAAACACTAGTACAGGAACATTCCCAGGTCCTGGCATAGAATGTCAGTGGCTTGTCAAGGGCGGGCTACAGGGGTCAGAGGGTGAGTGTCTCAGAGAAGAGGGAGGGGTGAGCACACTGGCCAGAGAGAGTTTCCCTGGGAAGTGGGGGAGCTGTCTGTGGCAAAACTGTTTTATAGACAACTTAAAATGAGGAAGCTTTGCTGGATTTAACAATAAAACTCCATTCTGTTCTGAGATTCGGTTGCAAGATTTGACCAGTTGGGCCACAGTCCTAGAATGTTAAAATGGAGCTGGAGCCTTCCTGCTTTATTTCTCAGCTAAATTAGATGCTGAAGGAAGAGCTTCTGATCAAATCAGGTTCCGTGAGAACTCAAATGGTGGGAATTGAGTTTTATCCCCACATTTTCGTGAAGAGAATCACGGATGTCCATTCCATCTGGGCTAAGGTTTAGTAGCAAGGCAACCAATATTGGCTAATATTGATTGCGCACTTACTATGTGCCAGACACTTCGCTAAATGCTGGACTTAAATGTACTTATTTAATCCACTCATCATCCCTTCGAGGATGGTTAAATGTCACTCTCACACCCATACACATTTTATCCTGCTTACACTGTTACTCTCTCCATTTTGCCAATGAGGAAATTGATCTGCGGGGAAGCTCAGTAACTTACCCAAGGTCTCCCAGCTAATAGGTGGCAGAGTCGGGAATTAAACCCAGACAGTCTGATTTCGGAGCTATCGCTACTAACCACCCCATTGTCCTGCTTCAAATGTGTATTGTGCTCCTTTGTAGTGTAGAACAGGGTGGTGACGCTCCCAGGAATTATTTAAAGAGGCCTCTTGGTTTTTTATTACCACACTAATAGATGTCTGCTGGGTTTTGCTCACAGCGGCCTTAGTCACTTGGGCTTTCAGACAAGGTGCAGTAAAAGCCCTGCTAATGTCCCCGAAGCAAATGATGCAACAGCCAACTTGCATAAGGGAGTGCTCTGGATTCAATAGTGGTTCCGTGAATGCCACAGCGTGGCATGTTTCTCTCCCTCTGTTTTCAGATCTGTGATTCCCCGTTAATACTGAAGCATGGTGGAGGTGAAGGAGATAGGATGGTCTTCATTTCTCAGATGAGAAAATTGATGCTCAGGTTTCAAGTTGCTTGACCAGTCAAGTGACTTCAAGTCACGTGCCTTTTATTGGACAGGAGTTAAGGGATGATGGAATATTCCTAGGTAGGAGATGACAGGACCTGTTCACGTATCAATTAAGAGTTTCTCATTAGTCGTCTCCAGAGACTTAAAATTAGTAGTCTAAAATGCTTAAATGAAGTTTGTTCTCATGCACATTATTTGCATCTTGTTTTCACTATTTATTTTTCTGAGGAAGTCTTCTATAGAGATTCCGAAGCTTGGTGGCATCCAGCCAGAATCTGATTTTTGCAAAGACAAATTATGATGGAGATGAGTGAGCTCCAGTTGATTGGAAAGCCAAGTAGGATCCTGACACATGCGCTTTCCCGCCCAACTTCTCCTAAAGCCGCTGTTAGAGTCACACTTTATCAGAAACGTGACTGCAGACCTGTTTCCTCTTTGCAGCCTGTGCAAGGCTTTGACTATGCCAAACAGCACCTGGGCCAGCAAGGGGCGGACGAGGAGGTCATCCCCGTGACCCAGGAGACGGTGGTCCTCCCGCTCCCTGTCCGAGATACTCCCGCCTCGCAGGAAAGGGACGTCGCCCAGGACGGAAGCACCATCAAGACGGCCAAGTCCACCGAAACCAGAAAGAGGTAGGCATGGGGCCAACTCTGGCATCTCCGTGTCAACAAGAGGAATAATGGATGGTGAGAGGAACCAAAGCGCTCACATGCATCCCACTGTTCTCTTTAAACATTCCCCTTCACTCTCATGTTGAATATTTGAAAAGGAGACCGAAGGGATGAGGGGAATCATAATACCTGCTTCTCCTAATCCAGCCTTTGTAAGGTTTTGCATTGCAGATCAACCACGACAGCAGAGTTCTAGCTCATGCATTTGTTGTAATAAATTTGGCGCAGATGTCACCCTTACACATTGCAACTTACGGTAAAATCCGTTCCTTGGATTCAGCATGCGTAGTTGTGGCTTATCTGGCAGTTTCTCCGTGGTTTATGATTTTAGTTCAAGGCCATTTATTGAGATTTCACTATGAAGAGAGGTCATTAACGTGCATTGGGAGGACTACAAAGGTTTACGATTGATTCCTGACCCCACGAATCTCTTGATGGAGAGACAGAGAGATAGATTGTGTGAATCCAAGCATGATGCACCGATGCCCACATTGGAGTCTGAACAAAGTGCTGTGGAAAAGAGAGGAGGAGGAGCTTAATTCTGATGAGAAAGGGCAGCGTGGAGGAGGTTTGTGTCAGCTGGGCCTTGCAGGGTGTGTGGAGTGTCATAGGTGGAAAGAGATGAAAGCATCCAGTCTAAAAGAGCCAGGAGAGATAAGGGACAGCCACATTCACTTAATGGTGAGTTTCCTTGAGTTTAGAGTTCTGAGGGCCGGGATGTAGTGAAGATGAAAGTAGAAAACAAGTTAAAATTGAAGATGGTTTTCATTTGCAGGCTCAGGAGTTTGACCTTTGTGCTCTAGCCAATGGGAAGCCATGGGAAGTTCTTCAGGCGGACAGTAATGCCCAGCCTGAAAGATGACTCGGGTGGTAATGTGGAAGATAGATGGGAGCGTTAGGCTTGAGGCCAGGAGACTCACTGTAAGGACTTCGCAATTGCCTTGTAAAGAGGTAATGAACCCTAAGGCTGGCTTAACAAACTCCCATTGCCAAACCCCTTCTCCCTTGCCTGGAGACCACAATGGTTGGAAAAGCAACACCCTGCCTGTCTGTTTCCGTCTTTCTTTCCCTTCACCTCACAGATATTTATTGATTGTTTGCTATTCAGCAGGCATTGGGGATAATGCAGTGAACAAGGCAAATTTCCCGCTCTCTTGGGATTTACAATCTAGAGAAGAGATAGACAATAAGCAGACAGAGAACGAGATATATAGTAGGTCTAGTGGTGGTGGATGTGGAGAAGAAAACCGAAGCATGGAAAGGACATAGAGAGATGGAGAGGGGGCTGTGACGCTATTTTAGCAGGAAGTCAGGGACGGCGTCTCTGATAGAGTGACATTTGAGAAAGACCTGATGGAGCCGGCACCGGTTTGGCTCAGTGGTAGAGCGTCGGTCTGCAGACTGAAGGGTCCCGGGTTCGATTCCGGTCAAGGGCATGTACCTTGGTTGCGGGCACATCCCCTTGGGGGGCGTGTGCAGGAGGCAGCTGGTCGATGATTCTCTCTCATCGACGTTTCTAGCTCTCTATCCCTCTCTCTTCCTCTCTGTGAGAAATCAATAAAAATATATTTAAAAAAAAAAAAAAAAAAAAGACCTGATGGAAAGGATGTGTGAGCCTCAAGGCTATCTAGAGGAAGAACGTTCTAAGCCAGTGGTCGGCAAACTCATTAGTCAACAGAACCAAACATCAACAGTACAGCGATTGAAATTTCTTTTGAGAGCCAAATTTTTAAACTTAAACTTCTTTTAATGTCACTTCTTCAAAATAGATTCGCCCAGGCCGTGGTATTTTGTGGAAGAGCCACACTCAAGGGGCCAAAGAGCCACATGCGGCTCACGAGCCGCAGTTTGCCGACCACGGTTCTAAGCAGATGGAACAGTATATGCAAATCCCAGAGGCAGGAATTTCTTGATTTGCTTAAAGGAGAGCAAGAAGATGTGAACCTTGGAGAAAATGGTAGTGGGTGAGTCAGAGTTTAAGAAGTTGTGATGGTAAAAGAGACCTATAGCAAGATAAACTAGGAAGTGCTGAATTAGACAAAATGCTATGAGTCTCTTTATGACAGGGCGGATCTGAGCCTTTGACGTGCTCGTGTGCATTAGGAATAGAATAAACATTTCCCAGACTTAGACTTGTCTGTGGAACTTGGACAAGAACATCCCACTTGTACTATGTATTCCACTCTTGGCAGACTCTGCCTTGGCCCATGGCTGTGAGTGGCCACTTCCGGTGTTCATGAATTTTGGGGTGCCAAAGTACGTGGAAGTGTACAGAACTGAGAATGCCAAGTTCCCACAGGATGAAGAGGGAGGAAGGAGGAGGAGAAAGAGGAGCATCCACTAGCAAGTGCCACATTTTGTCCCAGTCAGTTTCCATGGAAGGGGTTGGTACCATTAGGTTCTGAGTCTGGACAATTGACAACAGATGAACAAGGGGTTGGGTGAGGCCTCTGGACACCTGCCCCCTGGTGGTCTCCTGCAGAGGGAAGGCCTTCATGTTCAGCCCACCCACAGGCTGGCATGATCAAAGGCTGCAGGGAGCGTGAACTCACTCAGCATGGGCTCAGCAGGGGCTCTCTGGAGCCCATTTTCCCACTGGGCCCAGAAGGCCAGAGTCTAGCCCCGGGGGGAAGGCGAGAAGGCCCTGTGGCTCCCCTTGTCTAAACCCAGGAGATACTTTAAAGAAAAGGTGCTGCCCTATCTGGTTTGGCTCAATGGATAGAGCGTCGGCCTACAGACTGAAGGGTCCTAGGTTGATTCCCATCAAGGGCACATGCCCAGGTGGCGGGCTCGATCCCCAGCGTAGGACGTGCAAGAGGTAGCCGATCATTGATTCTCTTCCATTGTTGATGATTCTATCTCTCTCTCTCTCTCCCTTTCTCTCTAAAACAAATAAAAATAAAATTAAATTTAAAAAAATAAATAAGTGAAAAAGAGAAGGTGCTCCAGTATGTGGGGAAAGCCACTACCTGCAGGGGGAGCTCTGGCTTCCAGGGCTGATTGGCCACCTTCCTCTATACCTGCCCTCTGTATCCTGTATACCTGGCACAATGCCCAGTACAATTGGCGCTCATAGTGTATTTCCTGAATGAATGAAAATAGCTCAAATTGGTAGTTTCAGATGAAAGTAGCTAGCAGTTAACACAGTTAAGAATGTGTGTGTGTTTGTGTGTGTGACTGAGAGAGAGAGAGAGAGAGAGAGAGAGAGAGAGAGAGAGAAGAATTTAATGATGGAGTGACTTCATTTTTAGTGGCTAAGGTATAAGGTCTATTCTCTATAGAGAATAGCCAAAGAGAACTGTGAGCCCTGAAGATGCTACGTGAATCAAACACTCGGCAACATCTCCAAAGTGCTGTGTTTTAATAAGAGAACATGCTTCAAACCATTTCCACAGTCACCGGGGGTTAATGAAAAAGAGATGGGAACCGAGGGCGGCGCTCACTGAACTTCTCTGCCGAGCTCAGCACCGGCCAGCGCCCTTCAGGACAGCCAGCTACCTGACCCCTGCTGCAGTAGGGGTGTTTTTTTAAAAAAAATATTCCGAATCGTTTCTTTTCTTGTAGATAAAACCAGAAAGAAAGGCTACAGACATAAACTGTGCAAATAAAATAACCTTGAGAGGAGGCTGTGCTCGTCGAAACTTACCATCTCCTTGTTGCTATGGTTACTTCCAGCAGGTCACCCAGTGAGAACGGCTCTGTCATCAGCAACGAATCAGGGAAGCCCAGCTCAGGGAGGCGCTCGCCCCAGAATGTAACCACACAGCAGAAAGCGCCAAAGGAGGAGGCACGGAAGAGAAATGGTGAGAAGCCTTCCCTGCCAAGTACCACCCTCGAGCCTGTCCCACACACGGATACACACATGTGTGCACACAGGCCTGCACACACTCACACACCCCAGCGTGCCACTCTCATTTCTTCTTTCTGTTTTTGTCCTGCAAAGACCACGAGCCCGTTTCCTACCTACCTGTTAGTATGGCCTTACCCCCGTCTCTGAATTATCCTGGCTCCTGTTCTTACAGAATTGTGCAGGGCTTTAAAGAAAAAACAAAACTCCAGTGCAGAATGAACGGATGCTTGCTTAGAGATTTTTCTGTTCTGGGGTGAATCGACGTTTCTAGCCCCAGGTCCTCTTGGGTGGCAGGTGTCTGAAATGCTGCTTGTCTTGGAGATTCCCCCCACCCCCATTTTCTTTCCCTGCCTCCCCTGAATGTTCCAGGGGTTCCTTCTAGGCTGGTGGGTCCAGATGCTGCAAACCCATCTCTCCCAGGAGAAATAGCACAGAAATACATATCACCATAGACATCAGCCTAGGCTCCTGCCTTATTTTCCAGGGAAGCGGTACTGTTGAGTTTCTCCAACAGCTTCTCCCTCCTTCTAAAGGTTCGGTGTTGGGGTTTGTTGGGAAGGCCTCGGAGCCACCGGGCTGTGTTGTGGCACCATCTCTACATAGCTCACATCTATACATAGCCTCCCTGCCTTCCCAGTCCCATCTTTGTCCTGGTCCTCCTCCCGACTCCATCCTTCCATGAGGGATGCCGGCTTCCTGGAGACCAGATTCAAGTGCCCCATGCTGCCCCCCGGATCCAGGAAGATTCCTTTTGGAGGTCCAAGGGGTGCAGGCAGAGCCCTACAGCAATGCCAGGGGGAAAGCCCAGTGACCTGGCAGTCTGCTTGGCTGTGCTTCCTTTTTAGAGCAACTGGATGAGGTGTGGCTCAGGGGCTCTCTCTGGAAGTGAGTACCAGAACATTCTTTTGCTTTCAAAGGTCGTTTACTTCTTTCTTTGTTTTTGGCAAAAGGAAGAAGAGAGACAGAAAAGAAAGAAAGTTACCATGGATCCCAGGCCCAGCTAACATATAAAACACTCGTTTGAAATGTCATGCTGATACGATCCTTACATTTTTTTTTCTTCTTCTCCTGAACTCCCCTGCCCTGTAACGCGGAGACTGCTTCCCTCACCGGAACCAGGCCGTGACATGTGGGGTTTTCCTGGGGCATCTGTCCTCCTGGGGGCAGAAATCCTGCCCATCAACGCTTGGCTACGCCAGCTCACAGAGGGCCTGAGCCCTGACATGTGAAGGGGGACGTGAACTTAGCAACTTTCTTCTCTTCCTTCCCAGAGCGAGGAGCTAAGAGAGAATGGGAGAGGGAGGGAGGCAACACAGAGACAATGGGCAGCGAAGACACAGGGGAAAGTTGTTTTAACCAAGTCCAGAGACTGCCATGAGCACCCAATCAAGGGACCCTCCCTGCTTCTCTACTCTCTTCCATCCCTCCCTCCCTGCCTTCCTTTATTTTTATTTTTTTAAATATATTTTATTGATTTTTTTACAGAGAGGAAGGGAGAGAGATAGAGAGCTAGAAACGTCGATGAGAGAGAAACATCAACCAGCTGCCTCTTGCACACCCCCCACTGGGGATGTGCCCCCAACTCAGGTACATGCTCTTGACCGGAATTGAACCTGGGACCTTTCAGTGCACAGACCGACGCTCTACCACTGAGCCAAACCGGTTTCAGCCTTGCCTTCCTTTATATTCCTCCTGGAAATATATAAGGTCAAGTCCAAGTCTCCCCTCCCTCAGGTCCCCCATTACCCACTCTAGTCCTCCAATGACCTTGAATAACTTGGCGTGTCTTTCTCAGACCTTTTTACTATGCATGTGACAACACACCCGTGGCTTTGTTTTCTGTTGTGTAGCTTTGTTTTATTTTGTAAAACGGGATCAAGCACATACTGTTCTGTGGCCTTTTTCTCGCATAAGAATGTGCAGCCTACAGACTCCTCTGTCAGTAAATACACACATACGAGATGATGCCTTTCCCCGTCCCCCGCATTTATGTCAGAGACAAGGAGGAGCAGGGCCGGTTTCAGACCCCATCGCTCCCCACGCCGCTGGGGAGACACGGACAGGCTGGAAATGTCCCCGCCGATCTCCCCATCCTTGTTCTGCCACCCGCTCTGCCCGCCTCCTTATTCTGTTTGGGTCACTGTGCTTATTTGCACATCAGGTTCAGACATGACTACAGCACGGCACCCAAGCAAAATGCAATTACTGACCCGGTGGAGGGGTTCGCGCAACAGCTTCCTCCCGGGTCCCAGGGCTTCGCTGCGTTGTCTTTTTGCCAGAAGTCAACCCAGTGGATGTTCAGGGTTGGTCGCTGCTGTTTTACCTCTGGTTCTCACCCAGCGAGGTTTCCATTCGAAATTTTCAAACAGAAATGGTAGCACCAACTCATTTAATGTAAACAGATGTTGAAGCACATCAGAATTCTAGCGGGACCTTCAACGAAACCTACACTTGTCATTTTTTATCAAAAGGCTCCCCTGGATCATCATGCTAGGTTATAGTCTGCCCCCCAGAAAAATCAGTCGTGTGTTTTATTGGATTGGAAGATGAACCTAAGGAATGGAAGAAAAGTAGGGAGGGAAGGAGGAAGGAAAGACATAACATTGAAATTGTGGAGAAATACAAAAAGGTACCGTATTGTCAGCTTGCAAAAGGTATTTTAGAGACTGTGGTCTCTGAGAATGGACTCTTCTCTTGGTATGGAATATTCAGATACTGATGTTTTATGGCTCGGTATCCATTCTAGGTTAGAGTTACTAAGGTTAATGAACAAGTGTTAATGTTCCAGGCTGTCATTCTAAAACTGATTGTTTCCCACCAGTTTTGTTGCATGTGTACCTTGTGATTTTCCACTTTTGTGAAAATAAGACCTTTAAAAGGGAAAGACATTATCCCTCTAGGAACGCAGCTGAGTGGGTCCTTGTCGCTCAATGGCCTCATTAGCTCCCTACTTTAGAGGCTATTTCAGAACAATCCTATATAATAAAGAGGTAATATGCAAATTGACTATCACACACTCACAAGATGGCTGCCTATGACCAGGCTGGCAGGGTTGTGTTAGTGAGAGGTGACCAAACAACTGAACAAGTAGGCTGCATGGGGCGACCAGGCCTGTGGGGGGGTAAGTGAGGGGCAACCAAATGACTGAATAAGCAGGCTGTGTGGGGTGGCCAGGCCAGCAAGAGGGCTGTGAGGGGCAACCAGGCCAGCAGCGGGGGATAGTTGTGGCCAACCAGGCCGCTAGGGGAGGTGCAGTTGGGGGTGACCAGGCCAGCAGTGGGGGGCAGTTGGGGACAATTAGGCTGGCAAGGGGGCAGTGAGGGCAATTAGGCCAGTGGGGAGGGAAGTTGTAGGTGACCAGGCTGGCAAAGGGGGGTGATGTTTGGAGCAATTAGGCTGGCAGGTGAGCGATTAGGAGCCAGTGGTCCAGGATTGTGAGAGGGATGTCCCGGATTGGAGAGGGTTCAGGCTGGGCTGAGGAAACCCCCCCTGCTTCATGCATAATTTTCATGCACTGGGCCTCTAGTGTTTAAATATAAATGGGAAAGACAGAGATGACAGCTAGGATTTTAAAAGCAAAAGAATTTGGAATTTTTTTTTCAACCAAATACAGACACTTCAACTTCTGAATTAAAACCAATGTCACCCAGCCAGTGTGGCTCAGTGGTTGAGCCATGAACCAGGGGGTCACAATTTGATTCCTGGTCAGGGCACATGCCTGGCTTTTGGGCTCCATCCCCAGTAGGAGGCGTGCAGGAGGCAGCCAATCAAGGATTCTCTCTCATTATTATTGTTTCTATCACACTCTCCCTCTCCCTTCCTCTTTCCAGAATTAAAAAAGAACCAATGTCACCTTGGAAAAAGTGTTTTCTGGGAAACGAGTTAAAAATGAGTTCCAGAGGAGGACATACTATATATATTTAAATGTTCAGTCATTTAAGAGCAAAAACTTCCATACACCCTTAAATGTGCTCCTTCCTTTACATCACTGCGAGATGTGTCAGAGATATGAGCTCAGAAACACAGCTTCAGTTTTCATTCTCTCTGTGCCATCCCAGCGAGGTGAAGACTTGCTTATTATCTGACAAACAGCAGAGGGCAGTGACGCTAGTTATAAATAGTCTCTAACTTTAAGGGAAATTCCAGAAGGGAAGAGCCTGCCTTGTTCAAGAGCATTTTCTGCTTCAAATGGGAGGGCTTCCTTCCTCCCGCCATGCCAATGGAAAATAAACATCGAGAAACAAAATCTCCCTTCCGAGCCTGATTTGCAGAAGTTCAGGCCAACACCGAACTAAAGCACAACCAGATCCGCGTGGCGGCATTTACTGTGATGATGGCATTTATTGTGACGACGATGATGGCATCTAGGACACATCAGCGGTTTAACTGTGGCCCTTTTGTTTAGCGTTCTCTGGTGCTTTTTCTTTGGGGACTAATTATGCATGAACTATTCCCATGAACCTGCTGTACTCACACAGCATTTTAGTATTAGTATATAATGTAATGCCTTTTAATGTATTTTTCCATATAGCCTTTGGGGGAGAGGATCACTATTTTTCTCTTAAACCAAGAGGAACTATTGTGCAAATCTGAATTTGACTATTCTGACAGTGAGAATGAAAAAGGAACTACAGTTTTGTTTTTGTTTTTTAAATATATTTTATTGATTCTCTACAGAGAGGAAGGGAGAGGGATAGAGAGCTAGAAACATCGATGAGAGAGAAACATCCATCAGCTGCCTCTTGCACACCCCCCACTGGGGATGTGCCCGCAACCAAGGTACATGCCCTTGCCCGGAATCGAACCTGGGACCCTTGAGTCGTCAGGCCGACGTTCTATCCACTGAGCAGTACCGGTTTCGGCAGGAACTACAGTTTTGTACAGTGCCAGAGGCATCCTTTTTCTTTCTCCTTGGAGTTATGCTCTTCCCCTTATCCTATCCATGGGGTGGGTAGTGAGGATGTCACAGCTCAGAAGCAATAAAAATGTGAAGTACCATCTCATCACATGGTTACCTGTTCTGCAGGTATTGACATCTCCTCTCCAAGTCAGGAAATTTTAGTCATTCCTTTATTCATCATTTACTCAGCAAATCCCTGTTGAAAGCCAGCTGCCTATGAGACAATAATAGGTATTGCCTTTAAAAATATGGGCAAGAATGGGGCTTACATTCTAGTATCAGTACACAAATCAATAGCATTGCATGCTGTGAAGAAAATATAGCAGAGTGGCCAAAACTGGTTTGGTTCAGTGGATAGAGTATCAGCCTACGGACTGAAAGGTCCCAGGTTCGATTCCGGTCAAGGGCATGTACCTTGGTTGTGGGCACATCCCCAGTAGGAGGTGTGCAGGAGGCAGCTGATCGATATTTCTCTCTCATCGATGTTTCTAACTCTCTATCCCTTTCTCTTCCTCGGTAAAAAATCAATAAAATATATATTTTTTAAAAAAGAAAATATAACAGAGTGATGAGGCAGGTTGTTTTAGATGAGTGGGCAAGGAAAGTGTTTTTTCAAACAGCAACTTGAAAACTGAGAAGGAACTGGGCATGTAAAGGACTGGGGAAAGAGCTTTCCGAGCCAAGTGAACAAAACCCTGAGGCAGGAACAAGCCTGCTGTGTTCGAGAAGCTGCTGTAGCTGGAGAGGGGACAAAGGGGAGAGGGAGGAATGAGCTGGGCAAGGTCGCCAGGACCAGATTGTACAGAACCTGGGCGGCCTGAGTTTTATTCTGAGAGACACGAGGCCTCCAGAGGGTTCTGGTCGAAGGAGTACTGTGACCTGGTTGTCTTTAAAAGATGATCCAACCCTAACCAGTTTGGCTCAGTGGATGGAGTGTCGGCCTGTGTACTCAAGGGTCCCAGGTTCGATTCTAGTCAATGGCATGTACCTTGGTTGCAGATACATCCCCAGTAGGAGGTGTGCAGGAGGCAGCTGATTGATGTTTCTCTCTCATCAATGTTTCTAAATCTCTATTCTTCTCCCTTCATCCCTGTAAAAAATCAAATATATATATATATATATATATATATATATATATATATATATATTTTTTTTTTTTTTTTTTTTTTTTAAAGATGATCTATCGTGGCTGCTGGTGGAGTATGCATTTTAGGGCTAGGAGGATAAGACTGGAAGCTTGGAGGAGGGGTTTGTTTAGGAGATGTATTAGTCACTTGTTGCTGCGTAACAAATCACCCCAACACCTAGTAACCAAAAGTGACAATCTACATTTATGGTGTTGGATAATGTCTGTGGGTCAGGAACTCAGGAGTGGCTTAGCTGGGTGGTTTTGGCTCAGAATTTCATGAGGTCACCGTCTGGGCTATAAGTCATTTCTAAAGACTTGGCTGGGCCTGCCGAATCCACTTACAAGATGGCTTATTCACAGCTGTGGACAGGAGTCTCATTTTCTTGCCACAAGGACCTCTCCATAGGACTACTTGAATGTCCTTATAGCGTGGCAGCTGGCTTTTCCCAGAGGAAGGGGTCCAGGAGAGAGCAAGGCGGAAGCCACAATGTGTTCTAAGGACCTAGCCGTGGAAGTAGCACACTCTCACTTCTGCAATTTCCTTTTGGTTACCCAGGTCGGTCCTATTTATTGTGTCCGTGACTCTGAGGAGGTAATCATCTGGGAGGCTGGGTACCATAGCAGGTGTCCAGGTGGGAGGTAATGGGGGTCAGACAAGAGTGCCCCTCAAAACTCATATCCATCTGGTAACCTGTCTGAATAGAGATTGTTCTCTGTCATTGGCAGTTTGGTGGCCTGCTATCTGCCAATAAGTCCACAGAACCAAAAAATACTCGAATTACAGCCATTGTTAGACTCTGAAGCGTTTTAGCCACAATTTACTTAGCTTAATTAGGCAAATGTTCTGTGATTATGGCAAGCGACAGAAGGATACAAACTATGTGTTTCTCAATGATTTAAATAACATCCCAATCTCTTGAGCAGACCGGAGGAAAGATAAATACACTTCTATTACATTCGTATTTTAATAACACTATTTTGTTCCTAAATTGCCTGCTGGTTTAGTTGCTGGAACAGGCTTAATTTGTCTCTCCCTCAGCCATGCTCAATAAACTGTCATTCTTATAGTCAGTTAATGGGAAGATGCTTGGAGGAGAAATAAATCAGCAAGTACCACCGGCCCGGGATTCCTTCCGTCAGCTCAGTTCTGGAAGCAATCGCAGTAGAATTATTATCTATCAGAGGCGAGAATTAATGCAAAAGAGCGGAGGTGAAAATTGCTCTATTTAATTAGGGGAGTTGTCAGTAGCTTTAAATTTGTTTCTCTGGTCGTTATTTCTTAGCTTTCTTTTGTTTTAGACAAATGAAAGAAACTAAAACTCAAATCATTGAGAGGCAAGCTTTAGGGGGGGGAAGTATCAGCTGCAATTACTGTGGCTGGTTGACCTTAACATGGTGCAAAAATGGGTAACTCTGGTGGCAGAGATGGAACTGTTATTCAGTGGATTGTCATGTTTTAAGAAGAGTTCCACGTTTGGCCAAGTGGCATTTTTTTTCCCATCTCTGACTAAACTTGAAGGAAAAACTTTACTTCTTTTTTATTAAAAGTGTTAATCGCAAGTTTGAAAAAAAAAAATGGTTTTTACCGTTTAAATTCAGACTTTTAAAATTCTTTCCTACCCATGGATAACACAGCAGGCAGCATGTTTAAAAGAAATACATGAGCCCTAACCGGTTTGGCTCAGTGGATAGAGCATCAGCCTGCGGACTCAAGGGTCCCAGGTTCGATTCCGGTCAAGGGCATGTACCTTGGTTGCGGGCACATCCCCAGTAGGGAGTGTGCAGGAGGCAGCTGATCGATGATTCTCTCTCATCAGTGTTTCTAACTCTCTCTCCCTCTCCCTTCCTCTCTGTAAAAAAAAATTAATAAAATATATATTAAAAAGAAATACATGAGTAGCAGTGAGCCCTTGGCACAGAACCAGACCCTGTTGTTTCTGAGGTCGTGTTGAGTCAAGTAACATCCTTGGGCTGTTAGTATCACGCATAAGTCCCCGCGTGTCCCTGAGGCTCCCCTCCGGCCATGAAACCGATGTGTTTATTTGTGCTTCAGTGTCCGCCAGCGATGAAGAGGAAGGCGCAGTTCTGTTCGAGAACTCTGGCAAGGCGGCCGCCGATCCCTTCGACTCGTCTTCTGGATCCGTGCAGCTCACCGCAGTGAAACCCTCAGCCCTCCCCGTGGTGCAGCCCGCCCCAGACCGGAGTCAGGAGGCCGCAGTGCTCAACGGCGAGGTGAGACCTGAGCACCCAGCATGGGCAAGAGCCAGGCGGCCAGAAGCACCACCTGGGAATGCCCGGTGGGGGCAGGCTGCGTCCAGGGTTATAGGGCTCCTTCGGTCATTTCCACCTCTGCGTGCACTATTACCTAATTCATTCATTAGCCGAATGAATTGGGGCACAAGTCACCCAAAACAAATTCGTTAGGTGATGTTTTCAAAGCATCTTTTTTATCTTCTGTCCCAATAATTCCATAAGGGATGTATGCACAGGTGACCTAGGGTGCCTCAGCCAGAAATCTGACACGTACGACCCTAGGTACTTAATTAATAAGTCCACCGAGCATAAATCACACAGGAGACAAATATGCAATGCACGAATCACTCACAATTTATTTATCAGAGTCCTGGTGGGTTCCAGAATCCTAGGCAGCCGCCCGGGGATCTGCACTGACAGACACACACACACACACACACACACACACACACACACACACACACGGAGGTTCACAGAGGACTTTGCAGCTGCAGCTCGGCTTGAATTGAGGCCTCTCACAATGGCTTACGGTCCGAGGCTCAGGGTTCGGGGCTCGCTGCTCCGCCAGAGCTTTGACGGGTGCAGGCTGGTGAAGTAGAGAGCGACCCTCTGTGGAGGAGCAGAAGGAGCGTCTCTGATCTGCTGTGGAGCTTGCTCTTTTTATGTGTCTTCAGTGTTCAGATGTGTCTTCAGTGTGTCTTATCGGCGGGTCCCAGGAGCCTTGCTATCTGGTCTTACCCATGAGGTACAGATCACTTTATCTATTTCCTACACACAGACCACTCAAGGGTGCTTGTCAGTTTGTTTCCATTCCATTCTATACTTTAAGATATCACACTTCAATCCCACACTTTAATACTTATTCAATATTATTTTTATCCTTATTACTATAACATCCTTCCTTCTAGAAAGTCTAGAGGGGGCTTTTTAAAAACGGTAGTAGATATATACATGCATATAAGTACAACCGATGGACACAAAACTCTGGGGAGGGAGGGTATGTATGGGGGGGGCAATGTTGAAATATGTACACAGATAATAATTTACTGAAAAATAAATAAAATGGTAGTTATGAAGAGAAACATCAGAAACTCCTCCCCATATACAGTTTTTCACCTTCCTTGATAACGCTAAACTGTTCATTATTGGTGAGATGGTATTGGAAGGGATCACAGTTGGGTCTGGCTGGCTCGAAGGCTAAGACAGGAAGCCTAGGGTTACTTCCCCGGGAGTTGTGACCCTCCGCTGTGCAGGCTCAGGTGTGGACTTGAGACTCTCTCTCTCCCCAGGTGAACAAAGCCCTGAAGCAGAAGTCAGACATCGAACACTATCGAAACAAGCTGCGCCTCAAAGCCAAGAGGAAGGGGTATTATGATTTCCCTGCAGTGGAGACAAACAAGGCCCAGACGGAAAGAAAAAAGATGTATGAGAAATCGCAAAAGGAAATCGAGCATGTGTTGGATCCAGACCCAGAACTGTGTGCCCCATTCACCGAGTCTAAAAACAGGTGCGGTCTGTAAGGGAATTGTTTGAAGGTCGCTGTGCCATTGGTGGGATGAAGGTAGAGGGTGCCTTGGGCAATGCAGTCCTGGTCCCTTGATCTGTTAGCTTAGGACTGTCATCTTTGAAGGCCACTGAACCGGGCCATCCTCTTGTGTGAGCACGTGCTCCATAATGAGTCTGGAAGAGAATAATATTGAAGCCACAAATACTTGGGCGAACAACCATAATTGTCCTTCTGCTTAATGATATTTTCAAACTTTAGCTGCTTCAGAGCTGGGTGAAGATATAATTATCACCTACCTGATTATGCAACTTCCAGATCAAGAGGCATGGTGTTTTTCATTTATTTTAGAGGCTCTTGCATAAGAAAAGCAAATTTCGTGCCTCACCTTTTCATCCAGCTGCAGTAAATATTTACCACATAGCTACTCGGAGCTCCGTGCTGGGTTCATCTCTTTAATTCATGGATTTGTTGATGTATTTGACATTTGTTGTCTCCTACTGTGTATTAGCCACCACGCAAGATGCTGAATACTGTCACAGTCATGTTGCTTTTTCTCCCTCATGTATTCACTCATCCATTCAACCCATTCAACATTTTATGACAGACAAGACAGCCCAATGGCTGCTCTTAAGGTCTGAGCTGGGAGAGAAAGATAACCACCTCAAAAGTTTATTTCTCACAAGTGTGATGGGAGTTGAAATGTGAGGTGCTGTAACAGTCTATCAGGGGACCCAGCCTCCCAAGGGCAGGTTAGGCCCAGTAATTTGAATGATCATCCTTCCAAGTTGTGTTGCCAGCTGAGCAGAAAGTGGTCTCACCTGCTGGGTAAAGGAATAGAGGTTCTAGCAAAGCTGTGCACGCCCATCTTTCTTCTCCTCCTCCCCACCCCGAAGCACTTTTTCAGAAACACTCTCATGATTTGAGACCATGGCTCCCAAATGCACATTCTCCTTGGTGATGGCCCCTTGGCTTGAGAGCATGCCGATGCTCTAACCCACCCCCTAGCCTTGGCAGACACACTCTTCCCAGACTGTGTGGTGGCCATCTTGTGTCCAAATGGGGGCAGCTATCTTGTGTGTTGGAGTGATGGTCAATTTGCATATTACTCTTTTATTAGAGAGGATTGAGGCCTGCTTCAGGGGGTAGGGGCCAGCTGATTTGCCCTGAAGAGTGTCCCAGATCAGGGTGAGGGTTTTCTTGGGGCAAGGGACAACCTGGGCGAAGGGCTTGTGGTGGTTTGCAGGCTGGCCACGCCCCCCCGGGCCACCCAAGTGAAGGACCTGGTGTCTGGGATTTATTTATCTCCTATAATTGAAACTTTGTAGCCTTGAGAGGAGCCAAGGCTTCTGCTTGCTCTGTGGCCGCAGCCATTTTTGTTGGGATTTATTTATCTTCTATAATTGAAACTTTCTAGCCTTGATTGGAGGCCTAGGCTGGCCAGGGTGTGCAGAAAGCTTGGCTTCCTCCATCGCCGGGGGCAACTCAAGCAGGGCCGTTCCCTGCCTGCGTGGGTGTTTATTAAAAGCAGACATGACCATGTGACAGGCTTGGATGGAAAACACAAAATCAAGCTGGGCGGTGAGGCTAAATTTTTTTACTGAAATTGACAGAACTTGTTTTCAACAAAGAAATGAGGGATTGTTAACCCAGTGCTTCATTTAACATGCTTCTCATTAGGCTTGGTAGAGATGGCAAGCTATTGATGTGAAATCACACTGTGACAAGGGACACAATGCTGGTGTCACCCTGTTGATAACTGTAGAAAGAAGATACGGATTTTATGGGGAGGCTGGGGGCTTCTTTAGCATTTACTTTGCATGTTGAGACCTTTCAGTTCAGCATTCTTTTATAGACAGGGTGGGAAATTGTTTTTTCTGGATTTCCTGCTGACACTCAGAAAAGGAATCAAATCATGTGCAAATGAGAACTTAGCTTGGAAGCTATTTGAGAAATTAACAAAACTTTTTGTTGAAACTTAAAATTTAAAAAAAATTTTTTTTTCAATTATAGTTGGCATTCCCTATTCTATTAGTTTCAGATATTCAGCCTAGTGACTAGACATTTATTTATGTAACTTGTGAAGCGACCCCCTGATCAGTCAATTGCTCGTCTGGCGCCATCCATATTTATTCCGATATTATTGACTGTATTATCTATGCTGTACTTTACATCCTTGTAACAATTTCACAACTACCAATTTTTATTTCTTGACCCTTTCACCTTTTTTTACTTAATCCTCCACAATTGCTTCCATCTGGCAACCATCAGTTTGTTCTCTGTATCTATGAGTCTATTTTGAGTGTTGGTTTATTTTGGTTTTTTAGACACCACCTATAATTTAAATCATATGGATTTGTCTTTCTCTGTCTGACTTATTTCACTTAGCATCATACCCCTCTAGATCCATCCAGGCTAGAGGATATTCTATGGTAAGGTTTCATTCTTTTTATGTTGTGTAATATTCCATTTGTATATAGGTACCACCTTTTCTTTAGAACACAGTTTGGGAACTGCTTTCTTAAACGACAGAGGCCTTCTCTGACAGTCCTATCTAAAGCCGTCCCCCATCCTCATCACCCTCGATCCTAAAAATCCAAACAAAATTTATCATTATCTACCCACCTATATTTTCAGAGTTAAACAAAACAAAACAAAAAAACCTTACTTCTCAAGTTTGCAACTTTCCAAATTTGTTGACTTTTAAAGACTATAGCAAAATAACAACAAGAAATTAATTCACCTCTTGGAACTCTATTTGGTTAAAATAAGTAACCTGTCTGCCCAGGAGCCTCATTGTTTCTGAGTAGTTGCTTGCACACTGTGCACACTGACGGTCTGCTCGGTGGCGGTCCATACTGAACAGCACAGCCTGGAAGCTGTGGACCCTGAAGGCGGCTGGCGTGCACTCCGGCGTCTCAGCGCTCACCCACACTCAGGGATCTTGAAAGGGCTTCCACCATCTCACGTTGTATCTCTGATGCTTCCAAAATAACCCACTTTACTAATCCTAGGGTTTTATTCCCAACCACCCTTATTAGTAAATCTTTTCTAAATGGGCTAATTGGCAATCTCAGGGCAGCTGTGACATCTACTTAAAAAAAAGAAAAAAGAAAAAGGTCTCTAAGTAGGTCAAGGAAGAGCGTTCCATGGGGTCTCTCTTAAATCACTCAGGACGGATTCTGTTTTACAAAGTTGTGCTCCATTCCCAAAGGCAGCCTCTCACTGCAGACAACTCTAGGGCACGTTGTTATTATGACCGGCTCGACACTCTTACGTTCGTCAGGATTCTTTTGGTTGCAAGGGATGAAAATCCAGCACAAACGAGCTAAATAAAAGGGAATTTATTATTGAACATAATTGAAAGGTCAAGGCTTCTGGGGTGGCCAGGTCCCAGGGATCATGCAATGTCTCCCATATTTACCTTGCTCTCTCTTCACTCTTTGCTGGCTCCTTCTCAGGCAGGCTCTTCCTCTTAGCAGCAGCAGCACTGCTAGGCTTACATTCTGTCTTCTTAGGAACCTCAATGCCAAGAGAATGCCTGTTTCCTGGGTGCTCTAGCCAAAGTCCTGGGATTCAGTGTCCTCGGACCAACTCCCTCTGACCAATCACTGTGGCCACGGGGGTGCGATGCTGTGATTGTACAGCCTGATTCTCGTGCCAACCCTCGGAATAAGTGAATGCCACGGAGAACAGCATATGCGTGCCAGGCAAGCAGAGAGCACAGGTGTAATCTCTCTAAATAGGTGTAAACCCTCGTGGTGGGGGCGTAGGTCTATTGGTGTCTGTTTCATTCCCTGGGCTAATTGCAGGGTCATGTTTTGCTCAGGGTCGTGTTTTGCTATGTCTGTTCTAGATTAACAGGGTGTGACTGCCATACTTTGACATTGGGGGGGTGGGGGCGCGGGGGAGTGTGATCTTGAAAAGGCATGTATACGTGCCAGATTTCTGGTTTCCCACAAAGCCACTGAGAACAAATAAAGCAACTGTTTTACCTTCAACCCATGAATAGATAGCATATTAGAATCAAGACATAAAATAGGCGGAAACTGGTTTGGCTCAGTGGATAGAGTGTCGGCCTGAGGACTGAAGGGTCCCAGGGTTAGATTCCAGTCAAGGGCATGTACCTTGGTTGTGGGCACATTCCCAGTAGAGGGTGCGCAAGAGGCAGCTGATCGATGATTCTCTCTCATCGATGTTTCTAACTCTCTAACCCTCTCCCTTCCTCTCTGTAAAAAAAAAATCAATTAAAAATATATTAAAAAAAAAAAAAAAAGACATGAATAGACATGGTATCTGGGGAGTTCTCTCAAGTTAGATGCTCTGAAATGCAAGTTATTAACAGGGGAAACCTGTTGTTTGGGAAGGAAGTTGGTGATTTTGTCACTCAAAGGATCACATGAAAGTCACCTGTCCCCACTGGGCCTCACTCCCAACTTGTGTTACTTCCTGTGGAAAAAGCAATGCAAAGCCACAACCCACATTCGAGGCTGTTGTTTTCCTCCTCTTCAAAAAGTTCCTCTAAGAACAAGTGCAAACAGGGCAGTGGTGGCAAACGTCGGTGTTTCCAAGGGAGAGCCGAGGGGGGGCCTCTGAACAGGCTGCTCCCTGGGACTGACATGCTTGGTGCCCAGGTGGGCGTGTGGCTTCCTGTAGGTCACCTCTCCTGGAGGCCTTCTCTGACCATCCTGTCTAAGGCCGTCCCCCATCCTCATCACCCCGGTCACATCCCCTTGTTGTTTTTCTGAACATTGTTATAAGGCTTTTATTGCCAACAATACTATACCTTATCATTGATTAAACACACACACATGAATATCGCATATATATGGTGTCCCCCAAAAATGTATACATACTAGTACACTGAATAATTATGAAGGCAGTGTTTATTAAAATGTGCTCAAAATTGAGCTATCAGCTATTGAAGTGCACGTCCCAGTTTTGAAGTCTTGGTGAACAGGTTATTTGTGTGTGTTTTTATTTTGGCTTTTAAAAGTTTTCTCAATTACAGTTTAATCAATATCATTTTGCATTAGTTTCAGGTAGACAGCATAGTGGTTAGACAATCATATGCTTTATAAGGGTTCCCCCTGATATTTCCAGCACCTAGCTGCTACCTTACATAATTATTACAACATTATTGACTGTGTTCCCTAAGCAGTACATTACATCCCACAACTGTTTTTGCTGTGCTTCTCATCTCCTTGTTGTTCTTACACAAGGTGCTTACACTGTTTAGAGAGCACGTGCCATTCTGAAATTGTCATGTGGTTTATCTGTCTCACTCACTAGAATGTAACTCTGTCTTTTTAAAAAATATATATATTTTATTGATTTCTACAGAGAGGAAGGGAGAAGGATAGAGAGTTAGAAACATTGATCAGCTGCCTCCTGCACACCCGCCACCGGGGATGTGCCCACAACAAGGTATGTCCCCGTGACTAGAATCAAACCTGGGACTCTTCAGTCCACAGGTGGACACTCTATCCACTGTGTCAAACCGGCTAGGGCTGTAAGCTCTGTCTTGCTCACTGTGGCTCTCCCTCATCTTTCATGGTGACGGAAACATAGTAGGTATTCAGTAAATGTTAGATATGGGTGGATGGATGGACCAATGGATGGAGGAGCCCCAAATTGCCTCTAGTTTATAACTCCTTAGGCCAGAGGGGAAACCACTGTGGTGAAGGTAGAAAAGAAAGCCCACCCAAGTGGCAGTATGAAGCACCCCATTAGCCTCAGGGTTTATTAACACATCATGGAACCCTGCCTGCAGAATCAGAAAGATTAATAGGAACAGGAGGCTGCTGAGTCAACAGTCAACAGAAGCAGGTTTGTTCTTCCAGTGTTAGCTCTTTTAAAGGGTCCTGGGAAAGCCTCCGGCCTGGCCATCAGCAGGATTTTAGATGAGGCTGCAGTGTTGCGATGGATTGTAGTTACCAGATGAAAGAGCATTTACAACTCAGCCACATGGTTATAACATCTGGAATTTAAAAAAAAAAAAAAAAATCTTTATTCCACTATTTCTATGGCCCCTGGGGGCTAGGGAGCCAATACCATCCATTCTGAGATTTGTGAGGCGAATCCAACCAAACCCTTCATTGGTTGCCCGTATTTTGGATCAGTGGAGAATTCCATCTGTCAGGGCATTTGCTGCATCATAACAGTTGTTGGATTTTCTACAGGCAACAGACGAAGAACTCTGTCTACCGAAGCCGGCAGTCTCTGAACAGCCCAAGTCCAGGGGAGACCGAGATGGACCTTCTGGTGACACGGGAGCGGCCCCGGCGTGGGATTCGTAACAGCGGCTACGATGTGAGTCTTTCTTGGGTCACGCTTTCCTCTCCCTGGCAGCAAAAGGCATAGAGTAGGTTTCGGTGTAGTGTATGGCTGTGGAATTTAAAAAGGCAGCAAAATGTGTTCTGTTTATTTCCCATCACCTATTTGCAAAGTAAGGCTATTTGGAATTGCCAGAGTCAGAAATGATGGGCACAAGGGTTTCTATTTCCAAGTGCAGTCATTTTAGAAACAGTCCAGTTATTGGCCTTGAACTCAGAGATTCTAAACTCTGTTCTTGGAAACTCAGTCAGAACCATGGCCATGGGTTAGAACTCATTTGAGTACAGGCTGCTCTTAGTCCATAGCAATGCTGAGGAGTTGGGTTGGTGGGTTGTATAACTTCTCAGTTTGCCATGGACACGGTGAGGTGTCAACAGAGAGAGTTGGTGATTTCATGTGATGAAGTATAATGCGATGTGCAGCGATATCTCCAAACCGAAAAAATCCTGCTAATCCCATCAGACTTCCCCAGGTGATCAGTTAGGGTTTGGTGCTTCCTGTCACATGTCACTGCGGCCCATTGAGTTGCGCTCACAGGAACAATATCCTGCTGAGATGTTCAGGAAGCTCCACCCAGCCCTGGAATTCCAAATGGTCTTGAATATACTCATAGGTCTTATGAAAAGTGTTTCTTCCGCATTCTCCTGAAGTGTTTCTCTTACTACAAAGTAAAAGTTTTCTGTAACCGAGCTAGGATCTAAATCTGTCTGGATAAAGCTTTGTCATAATTTGTGAGGTTGTCATTTGAAAATGACACTTGACTTCTTAAATATACCATATTAATTTAATGGCAAGAATATTTCCCCTCGGGATTGGTCATTGTTTTCTATAATAGCTAAAAATTTAGGTTTTTTTTTTTTAATGATCCCATTAAAATCAGATGTAGCTTACCTAATTAGGATTTCTAAATACCTTCTTTGTGTGGGTGGTGATATCCTTCTCTCTTGTTTCTTTTTCCTTTTTTAATATAAAACAATCAGATAGTCTCGATTTTTAAAGTTCTAGACGCTCTGGGCAAATCATTTTTTCCCCCCCTCCAGATTAAAGTATTCAACTTTAATTTTTCTCCTCATAAAAGTATTTATTATACCAAATTCAGTCCTCAATTAAATAGTGAGCCGGTGGCTGAATATTGAACATTGGGCTTTTCCTGTTAATCTCTCCCTAACAACAGCGCCTGTACTTTCTGGTTGCTTGTAGCTTTTCCTTCTGTGAGGGCATCGCTGAGGAATGACAGGATTCTTACATTATCTCAAGATTAGTATTTATAGTTTTCTTGTGAGATTCTAGGCACATACATTTTACTCTCCGAGGAAATCGGCCAGAGGTTCCCGGCTTTTGAAAAGAGAACCTTTGCAGATTTTTTTAAACCACTGTGCCATGCGTGAGAGGACTCACTTTTGGGGTCCTTTGGGAATGTCATGTTAGTAAATTACCTGAGAGGAGAGAGATGATTTCTAAAAGGAGGTTGTCACCCCTCACAAACATGGATAAATATTCCAAACGTAGATGACAGTAGAAAGACACTAATAGACTTTTAAAAAAACATCCATTTCTTTGAAGTGTGCAATGATCTTGGAAATAATAAGCGAACACGTTTCCTTAAGAGAAAATGATCATCTAGGGAACATTTTTTAAGAATATGGACTGTTGACTATGAGAGAGAAATTGCTTCTTAAGTCTTCTTCTGTGTTTTTGATTCTAATCATATGAAAAGTGGCTATCATTTACTGACTGCACCTGGAGCCCAACCCCTATTCCAGTCTTTCCCTGAGCATTGTCTAATTGAATTTGCGAAGTCACCTAATTACTCTCATTATGCCCATTGTCCAGATGGGAAAACCAAGGCACAGGGCAGTCACCTAATTTGTCTGCCCACCTCCAGAGCCCTTTTCCTTAATCACCATGCCATATGACTTCTATCTACACCCACCCTACTAACCATCTGTCCTCACCTAACATAATACTAGAAGATATTCTATATTTCTTAATCTCTCGAATCGGCTCACAAGAATTCTTGCATGGATAATTCACATAAGGAAAAAAAAAAAAAAAAAAAAAAAAGGACCAGCAGAAAAGGAGAAGAGTCATCGTTTTAAACAATGCACTCATTTTCTGAGCTCTGGGTTTTCCAAAGAAGTCAAGGCACTCCTGGCAGAAGAATCCATTCGCCCAGCAGTGAGCAGCTCATTCCGTTGGAAGCATGGCAATCTTTCTGCTGGGGCTGGGGAACTTGAAGCCGGGCCAGAATTTCCAGCCATTTCTGCCAGATTAGGAAGCACCAGGGGACCTGCTCCTTGGCATGGTAGGAACAAAAGCTCTGGGAGATGGATTTAATTGTGAATGTCCCCAAAGTTGACTCCGTTAGAGTCCCAACAGAAAAGCCTCATGTAAAAAGCAAACAAGCAAACAAATACATGTTCCACAGGCAAATCTTAGCGCCAGGACTGAGGAGGCCTGAACTGTTCCAGGTTTTCCCATAGGCCCCCCTTCCGGCCTGCACAGGAGAGGGAATTAGTGTGTGTGTGTGTGTGTGTGTGTGTGTGTGTTAATTTATTTTTATTTTTATTTTTTTATTTTATTATTATTTTTTTAATATATATTTTATTGATTTTGTACAGAGAGGAAGGGAAAGAGATAGAGAGTTAGAAACATCAATGAGAGAGAGTCATCGATCATCTGCCTCTTGTACACCCCCGACTGGGGATATCCCCGCAACCAAGGTACATGCCCTTGACCGGAATCGAACCCGGGACCCTGAGCCAAACCGATCTCGGCTATTTTTTATTTTTTTTTTAATTTCTTTATTGATTAAGGTATCACATATTTGTCCTCATCCCGCCCCCCCTATTCCCATCCCAAACCCCTCTTCCTGCATGTCCCCACCCCCCTGTTTTCCATGACCAGTATGTTTTGCAAGAATTCTCAAACCCTTAGTCATGCTAACAACGAAGGGATGGAACACACTGTGACTCATTTGGGTAGTAATTTTCTAGAAGGAAACACCCCTTTTAGAAAAAATGAGTGATTTTAGAAAGTTGTCCAAAACTGACCACTCCTAGATGGCCAGACCATATCATCAAATTAAATGTTGGCATTGAAATGAATTCCCCCCAGCGCATAAAATGGGTGCAAGAGATCATGTCAGCCTAATATTTAAAAGCAAAAGAGAAATGAGTATTTCCAAATATTTTTAAATGTTTTTTTTTTCTTCAAATGAAAGTCATAGAAAACAATGAAGCAGGGAGGAAAAGAAAATGGCCCAAATGTGAATTCTGGGGAAGAATAAAAACCCAAGTGATTCCCCCCACCCCCACTCCCCAACCCCCTATTCCCCCAGCCGTCCACCGAATAACCTCTGCCTGTGGCTGATGAATCAGACTTTGCTTCCAAAATGCAAGTAATAATCCGATGGTTCCCCAGAAATAAAAATCAACCTGGATCTGTGTTTGGAGTTTAAAAATCTATGACAGGAATGGGGTCAGCTCTGTGCCTTGGCTGTGAAGGAGACCGTTCGGGTTGTCTGAATTACAGCTTTGCTAAATGAACGCAACACAAGAGACCTTTGTAAGCTACTGCCCTCGGGTCTCTCCGGGGACCTTGTCCGAGGTCCCACGTCCCAGAAGCACTCAGAGGGCATTCAGGGCAGAATGGTGGCCTCGGACCCTAAAACGTGGGCAGTGAGAGGAGAGCATGAGGAAGGGTGATGGGTTCATCGATGCGCCTCAAGGGAGATCGAAGGCTCTGCCCTGGCAATCGAAGGCTCTGCCCTGGTCACCGGTTCTCATTCCAGAGGCTTTCTTTCCGGGAAAGAGTGAGAGAGGTTCGGGAACACCAGCTGCTTTTCCATCTAGAAAGTTCATGTTAGTCATCACAGAAGGGGGTGCTACGCCAGAGAAGGGTCAGCTGCAGAAATCACGAAGCCATTTAAATGGACAAAACATGACTATGAAGAATTGGGCGCTCCTCAAGTCGTTGGAGGGCTGGAGCAATGTTCCAGAACATTCCTGAGGAGGGGCCGCTGCCCCTGCCCGAAGCAGGAAGATGGAAAAGTGGCTGCCCTGGATCTGGCGAGGAGCGGAAAGATGGGCGCTGCCTCAGGCCCTCAGCCCGAACTGCACAGAGTGCACGTCATTACCAGATGCTCATGGAGGGCCCGGCGTGCATGCAGCTTCACCGTCAGCCTCCGCACTGCAGAGTGCACCTGCAGAGAGGTCCCAGCTGCCTCCGCTGTTTCCGGGTGGACACCCTGGAGAGGGAGATGAGAGTGGGACTGGGAAGCAGTCGGGGGAATCAGAGGAGGAAAGCAAAGCAAAGAGGAAGATGGGATCACCGTTCAGCATGCAGGCTCCAGCCATCTGCCGGAGCCGGGTGCATGGTGTTGTGTGTGATGGGCTGACAATGCAGCCAGTTTCCCTTTGATCCAGGTGAGCAATGGTTACTGGAAGGAGGCCAAGGAATCGGGACATTTGCAAGGGGATGAAATATGATCTGGAAAGTTCCTCCTCCCTCTGCCCTCCTCTCTCCCTCCCCACCCCGCACCTGCAATAGCCTATAGCAAATCTGGGGCCTTCTAGATACAGTTGTAAATCCCATTATTAACAGGACTCTCTCCTGCTCACCCACACCCAGCATCTTGGCATGACAGTCGGAGGCCAGGGCACAGCACGGGAATGTCCTGGCAGCTCGTAGTACTCTCAGGACAAAGTACAATCAACATCTAGTTTCACTAAGAGGCAGATGGTTGGATTTGGAGGCTTCATCCTTCGTCTCCGCCTGCTGCTGCCCTAAGAACTAGGTGCTCCGATGTGGACCCCACTCCCCCCACCGTCACCCCCTCAGCATCCCACCCAGAACCGTGTTACGTGTGTCTCCCCCTTCTCAGCCTTCACTTTCTTTATCCCGCCTCTGCCAGCTGGCTTCAGCTTTTAATAGCCCTAGCTTAATCATTTATCTTAATTTACAGTACGTTGCAT